AGCGTATCAAGAGCGAGAGAGAAAGAGACTTGCGGTAAGTCTACAGACTAGAGCTCTACTACCAAACGACTTTAAAAACTTCACAAGGATTACCTTGTGATTTTCACACTTGCCGTTATAGTTGTGGATCGTGAATTGCCCACAAAGTCGAATCAGACATTTTGGATGAAAAATTGCTACGCTACAGACACATTACAGTAAACCATATTTAAAAAAAGCGTGGATGGACTGCTCTCGAAGTTAGCGATGCAGGTTCGTCAAAGTTTAAAGGAATAGAAGGAATTGAAGTTTTTTTTGTTATATCCTTTCCGTTTCAACGGAGAAAGTGAATGTGCGCTTATTCTAGGACTGTAAGAGAGGGAAGTTGGGAGGAAGGGGGCGGGTAACGCATTTGGATAAGGCCACATGTTTCCCCCGAAATAATTATCCTCAAAAATTTATTACTAGATTAGAACAGACTGAGTATATCAAGAGGTGCATGCTACAAAATTGCCCTGGTCTTGCTAGCATCCTACAGTGACTACAAAGCGACAGTTTTCAATCATATTCGAATTACGTTCATTTTCCATCGCAATCTAACTTTATGACATCAATGCACAGAAATATGATGTGTTAAAATAATAAGGTAAACTAATAAGAATTACTGAATGATAATTAGACAATTAACCTTGATTTATTACCGTGATTACATTAGGAACAACAGCTGCGACTTCAGCAAGAAAATCAAGATCACAAAAAAGAGGTATCATATATACTGACTATTTCTTTCTTTCTTTTTTATTGTGGAAGGTTTGAACCCAGGAGTCATTTCAAAACTAGGTTGAATTGATCATCCGGGTGAACGTAGTCCTGAATAGGACTGTTCTTTTCGACAGTGACTGACGTTTTTGACAGTGACTGTCATTTAAGCAGTGATGTTGTTAGCTATGAAGACTCGTAATCAGTAATTGGTGCGTTTCGATCCGTCTATTGTCACAGTGAAACAGTCGTCTATTGTTAGTCAAATTGTCAGTCCTCCAGACGTTCTGTCGTAGTTAGTTTTGCTTGATCTCGTCAGTAAGTCGTTTGTACGGTGCTGGTAATCGTGTTGGCTACTATTCAGTGGCGTTTTTTCTAAGTTAGTAAACCAGCTTTCTAAAGTAAGACGTTGATAGTAATGTGTAGAATACATTATACATGTCGCAGAGTCCCATTCAATTAGATGTTTCGTCTGTAAATGGTGTTCAGCGATGTGATTGTTGACGTCACCATTCCTCGTCGCTCGTTTGTGTTCGGTCAGTCGCGTGCTAAGGTTTCTGCCGGTTTCACCAATTTACGAAGCCTGGCAGTGGCAGCATTTGATCTTGTATACTGCTCTTTGTCTGTCCTCCGGTTTGTCCTTGTCCTTGGCATAAGTAAGCAGTCGTCGTAAAGTGGTTATCAGTTTGTGTGCAACACGTACACTGTAAGGTTGTAATCTACGTGCGATATTTTCAGAGGTGCCTCTGATGTACGGTACAGTCGCTGTCGTAACAGGGCCAGAGTTGACGTTGGTCTGAGTGTTGGAATCAGTGTTACTGTGTGTGTTCCGTCTAACAAAGTCCGTGTTGTAATTGTTCTTAATAAGAACGTTGTTATGATAATCAGTTTCGTCTTGTAGGCTGTCGGGTGAGTCACACACTGGTTGCACTAGTCTCGTGAAAGTCCGGATTGTAGTAGCCACAAAGGCAAACCGGAGGCCAGACAGAGATCAGTATACAAGATCAAATGCTGCCACTGCCAGGCTTCGTAAATTGGTGAAACCGGCAGAAACCTTAGCACGCGACTGACCGAACATAAACGAGCGACGAGGAATGGTGACGTCAACATTCACATTGCTGAACACCATTTACAGACGAAACATCTAATTGACTGGGACTCTGCGACATGTATAACGTATTCTACAGACTACTATCAATTACTTACTTTAGAAAGCTGGTTTACTAACTTAGAACAAACGCCACTGAATAGTAGCCAAAATGATTACCATCACCGCACAAACGACTTATTGACGAGATCAAGCAAAACTAACTACGAGAGAACGTCTGGAGAACTGAAAATTTGACTAACAATAGACGACTGTTTAACCGTGACAATAGACGGATCGAAACGCACCAATTACTGATTACGAGTCTTCATAGCTAATAATGACAGACGACCAATAACATCGCTACATAATTGACCAATCAGATCAATAACCAGAGTATAATACCATCAACTGATGGGATACAACTCACTTTGACTCTGAAGATGATTACTGCACAGGTTGTCGAAATGTCAGTCACTGTCGTCAGCATTAGCCGTATTCAGGACTACGTTTACCAGGACGATTAGCCTCAATCTAGTTTTCTTTTTTATTGTTATCTAATGAACGATTTGTACTTTTGCACTATTTGCTTTATGAACAGACAGGCCACAGGAAAGATTAGACCTTGACCTGGGGTATGCCAATACAAACGTGTGTCCGATACCTTGCGCAAGTTAAGCTTGGCAGGCTTGAAACCCAGTCATAACCTTTTGGTTATGGACCTCTGAAACGACGTGTTTGTTTCATTTTGATTTTTCCATTGGACAGTGGTTCTAGTGGGGTGGAAAAAGGCTTTCCCGTCTTGCACTCTCCTATGTGCACCTGTTGTTGTTTCTTCTCTCGCGGTTTTTCTGACTGGACTAACTCAGAAAAAAAGAGGGACTGCTTCGATCGTCGCATGCCATGCGACAATCGAAGCAAGTCCCTCTTTTCACATCCCCTGATACTCACCACTCACAGCCTAAAAAATTAAAAGTTCAAAAATACTTTTACACAATAATAAGATAGGGTATAAATTTTCTTGCAAGAAGGAAGTTTAATTGAGTTAGCGTTTGAAACGAGATTGGAGTGGTTAGTGTATAAATGGCGACAGCTGTTAGCCTGATTATGATTGCCTGTCTTCACATCTAATGACCTTCAACAGTTTCGTTTTTTTCTTTTCTTTTACTTTTCTTGAAGATGGAAATGTTGATCACCAGGCTGGAGAAAGAGAGGGTACAATATCGGCAGCAGATGCACAGTGAGCTGGAAGCACAGCGAGTTCAAATGCAAAATATGATGGCAGCAAATATGAAACAAGCCGAGCAAGAAAGAGAGGCCTTCATCAAGGACAACCAAGCCTTAGAGGAGCGCTTTCTGGAAGTGCAAAGATCGAACGAAGAAAACATGAAACTGATAAGAAATATGACCGCTTTGATTGCAAGGCAATATAAAGAGAAGGAGGTTCTTAGAGAAAATGCCATCTCCAAGGAACTGCCCAAGGATAAAATGGAAGCCTTGTTAAACGAAATGAGTGAAAGACACACAGATGAGGTCAGGGGATTGCTTAAAGAAACAGATGACCAGTTTGAGGGAGCGGAGAAGCTGAAGCAAGAAACCGGTGATGAAGGGGATGAAAATACATGCCACAAAAATTTGGATGAAGTGCCCGAGATGATTAAATTGAGATCAGAGGCTGTGGAAGATGTACAGAAAAAGATAACCGAGACTCACGAGGAACAAGAAAAAGTTGAAACATCAAGTTACATAAAGACGGGATTGCAAGCTGTCGCAGTAGTAGCACCAGCATTTGGTAAAGTTGTTGCTGCAGCTAGACCCGAATTAGCACCCGTGGCTGAAGTAGCAGGTACCGCAATTAGGGACTGCGCTCAAGGATTGTCAGAAGTATGCAGCATCATGTGAATTAACGAACCACATTCAACTAAGTAGTGGCCTATTAGGGGTGGCGCATGGTTTGCCCAAGGGTCTTACCGTCTTGTTTTTTAGATTCTTCTTTCTCTGCCATCCTTATGATGACAGCGAATTAAATGTTTATCGTCGTTGACGTCCGATGTAGATTTGAATTTAATGCTCACGACTTGACTAGATCACTCCTGTTTTTTGAAGGGACAGAAGGTGTTCACGCAGGAGCTGTTCAAGAGATTTTTTCCTTATCGTTTTTGATGCATGAATCTAGAACAAAAAAGATAATTAAATAAATAAATGAATAAATAAATAAGACACTATATGCTTACCTTTAACGTTTTAAAATAAACCTGAATATAAGGCTTCTAAGAAGGCTTTATAAATTTGACAATTTTACACCTAGAAGAATGTCAGACCGCAACTGACAACATAACATTTGCCATAAAATATCTTCCCATGATATCTAGGATGATGACGTCATCAATCAAGCGACTATTGCCAAACAAGCTTTTTTGTTGCTGCTACAAGATATCATTATCGAGTTAATGAGCATGAGAGAAAAAGTCGGGCGACTAGGCCGAGAACTATAGAGAGTCGACGTTTTATCACATGACAGCTAAAAATCTGCAGGGAAATAATGTTCTGTGTGATAATTCTTTAACGACCGTGATCATTCACGTTACCAGAGTGTTCTGATTATTTTAGTTCGTTTTCAAGTACATTTTCTGCGTCATAAATTAGCAAGTTTTTGTCTAGAGATCTTTACACTGCATTGCCTCTGAGTAATTATAGCTCCATTTTAAAAGCAGCAGCAAACGAAAACTGAGGCAGAAGTTTAGAAATTGCATAATTAATTGACCGATATTGCAAGTTTAAATCGAAAAGGAGACTTACACTTGAGAGTTTTGTAGAATCCTTTTTCAACAGAACAGTTTGTTTGCCGAAATAAATGTTCAACTTTTGTTAATAAAGGAAAACTTTAAAAAAGCCGAAACGATCTGTTTTGCGGCTTAATATCTCCGGATTCCAAGTGACGGGGATGATTGAATTGGGGCAAAAATCAAAACCCAAAAAAATCCCTAGGACCTTCATTTATACCTCAAAAAATCCATGGACCAAAAATTAATCCACAACAGGAGCCTATGGGTCAAGGGCTTCTGTCCCCAAAACATCCCATGCAGAATTGCCGAGCCTTAAAACTTATCAAGCATTAAATGAAAGAACACAACACATAAAAACAACAGAAAGAAAAGTCGCATAACTACGCAGGCGGGATACGCTGGCACTGAATGCTCTCTCAACGGCGCCTCCCTTGCTACCACGAATGTTTTTTTTAATACCGCCCCCCCCCCCCTCCAAAAAAAAAAAAAATTCTCTTTACTTTAAAAAAAAAGCCACCAAAAAACTCCCGGAATCAAAAATTTCAAACCCCAAAATATTCTTCGATCATCACTTGAAATCCGGAGTACTCGTTGAATTTGTATTGAATTTGTATTGCTGCGAAGTTACAACACCAAAAGAGCCATAAATATTTCTGAATCAACCCGAGGTCTAGTATTCTGATCTTCAGTTTTGACCTTAAAATGGCGATTTATTACAGTTCAAGTGCTAGTGTTACCTTGTACATGAAAGTAAACACTGAATAACAATTCTCCCCCTGTCTTGTTTATGTTTGAATGAACGAGGTTGAAATTCACAGAGAGATATTTGTGGATCAAATCACTTAGACTTTCCGCGTCTCCTTCGTGAACTGCAAAACAGTAATTCTCCGAAAAACGAACATTCAGTAAAAATTTCCTTGAAGAAATGGAATCTCTTTTTCCTTTACTTTGTCCTTAGAGGAATCCATAATTGTCGCCTGAAAGATCTTGAAAACCTTAATCTCACTTGTCTGGTTTTCCCGCCAGATTGCGAAAATTTGACATAAGTAAATAAGGTCATAAGTCGACCGGAATGGTCCCGACAGGAAGATCGATCAACCAGAACTCTCTCTTAATTTTGCCAAACTACCGCTGACCCGTTAATGGAACACCGAAAACTCACCCTCCCTCTACGCCCGTGGAAAATTGTCTCCCCTTTAGATGCGGTAAATGGTCTCCTGACCGGTACGGTTTCACCTGGAGAGATATATAGCGCTTCGCTTCACATAAGCCTTTCTGTTGACATGAACCTTGAACTTGAACTTCTGTGAGGAACCGCGTTCGCAGACGATACCCGAGACAGGATCAACGTGGTTGTCCTGTGGTAGTTTGTTATACACAGACACAGGACGTTTCATTAACAGTACTTTGGGGGCGACACCTTTGGTTTGAGGGGTGGAGCGATTATTTCTGAGAACCATTTCTCCACCTCGCCAGTAGCCCTAGGCCATAATTTGGTGACTTTGCGATGCTTTAAAACAAGCGCACGAGCAAACTTACCATTTCTTATCCCCAGTAAGGAGGACCTTTGTCTGATCGTACGATTCGGGGAGACCCAAATGTGGCAATAGCTGGTCTAACTTGTGAATCACAGCAGGGACGGTTGTCGACGGCACTGCTTCTACGAACGAGAACCTTAAATAATTGTCAACCAGGAAAAACGATACGATCATGGCAAAAATTTAATCCTTGAGCTTCCTTGGGTTATAGTGTTGATCGAGCTTTCAGTAAGCGGACTCTTAATAGGATTCGTTCTGTTTTCCACGCTTTGTCATAAATTTAGCCCTCTGTTCCCGTTCTCCCTATCGGCTGTTGGTGGCTTTCTAATTGTTAGTGTAGCCTTCACTTTTTCCCTTTTCGTAGGTTCTTAGAGACCAAGATTCCACACCATTGTCATCATCTCGTCATCGCAGTCAGCAAGTAGCAGAGAGCATTCTGCGTTACTTTTCTGGTATAGAAGGCTTCCACCTACGGCTGAAGAGGACATGATGAGAACCCTTAACGAAAATAGGAGTCAAGTTCGACCTCAATTCTTAACTAAACTGGAGGAATTTAAGACGCTGCTTAAGTCTACTCATCTTCCAAAACACAGCTGCTTTGATGGACAGCTGGCGACTGGAGAAGGTAACACCCTTTTAGTATATATGCGTGGAGTGAAAGATCAACAAATAGAGTTCTAGAAGCATAGTGGTTATATCACGGTGGGATGGGATACTACCCAAAAAGTGCTTTTGGTTTTTAATATATAACACTTATTCACCGAAGTGGAAGTGGCTGGTGGTGGATATATTTGCCGAGGCCACGAAATAGTATATACTAAAACAGTGAGATAATGGAGCAAAAAATGATGACTTTTAATTTTGGCGCGCAATGACCGAACGGCCGCTGTCTTCGCTTTTTCTTGCCGACAAAGAAAACTTTTGAAGGCATTTTTTTAGCTCTTGCGGGGAAATTTCTTCAAATGGAGTTGTGAATTATTTTTGTATGTAAAATCATTCTGTAAAAAAGATTATTAAATTTAGTTTTAAGCTTATTTATGAACAAGTCAACTAAATAAAGTAACACAAGACTTAAGCTTGATTTGCATTTGTAAACAAAAAACTTTTTCACTGGCTTAATTGATAAATTCAAGTAAAAAAGACAAAGCTTTACCTGTTAAAACTTCTAAACCGAACTTCGTCACCTTCTTCCTGTATTTCGAGAACAGCTTGCTTGATTAGTTGTGGAATTTCTTTGTTTCTTACGGCAGCAAACCGGGAAGGCATTTTGCTCGCAACTTACGTGAGTTTGGCGTCGCTTGCTCGGAGGAACTGGAGGTAAATCAGTGAGTAGAGCAGGATATTCGCTGATTGAGTAGCCAATCAGAGCGCGCGAAAAACACTATCCACTGTTTTAGTATATACTTAATATAAATCATATTAAATAACGTCGCGTTATTCTAACGTGTGATACCCTGGTGGGCTATTATCTCAATTGATTTTTAGTCATTTTAATGTCAACTAATTAACAGGATCAGATACAAATTACAAAGAATGGTCATGAATGTCCATGGCAATTCCATATTATAGTGGGGATAAAAAAAATTAATACATAATACGTGGTGAATACAAAGTAAACTGTGAATGATTGAAATTTTTCGAGTAAGTTAGTATCCATCGTTAGAATATGATTGCTCTAAACTGTAGTTCTTTGAGTTGATTTTTGATCAGGGTATTTTAGGCTATTATAAACTATACCGGATACTGGTCTTGATGGGTAACTTCAGAGCGGTAAAAAAGTCTCAGTAGATGTATCGGAGCAAAGCTAAAGCCACGTTGATCTTAAAGAAGTCGTTAGTCCTATAGATCAACACGTATCGGATAGTTTTCTGTGCCAGTTCGTTTTTTGGCAATGTGAACAGCTGTTCATACCAGGCCATGGACATGATAACAGGGATACACATAAGCTCTCTGTTGCGGTGTAGAATACCCTTAACAGTGTGAGATGTTCAAATTGTGATTTGTGCGTGTTATTAGGAAAGATTTGAAACTGTGGTAAGTTGTTTTCCTGTGATCGTTTCATATAAGCAGTAAATAGCTAAACATAGTAAAAAGATAACTGACGAGAGAAATTTCGCTAAATTATGACAGGACCTGCTGCTTTGATCACTCTGTACGTGGAAGCCATTAACACTCCTGGTACTCTTCCAAACGTGCAGTCCGCATGGGAAACGTTCGTGGAAGCAAAATGTATTGACGCCAGAAATGTAGCTCTGAATATTTTGTATGCGAGAGTTTTTGTCCAGTAAGCTCCCGTGTGAAAATGTGAAATTCGCAAGGTGAATAATGATTCGTTAGAAGAATGTCAACGACAGGTTATGGCCGAAACCACTGGCATGTCCACAATAAGAACTTAAAAGTGTTTACGGTTATTAATGGTAAAGTTTTAATGTACTCTTTGATATCATTAAGGAATGGGTGGAAGAAATAACGTGAGAAAAAAAAAAACAATAAAATATAGATAATGATAATGACAATAATACTGATGATAAAAACTTTGGTAATGATAATGATGATGATGAGGATAACGATGATGATGATGATAATGAGTCAATAATAAAGTTGCTTGAATAATAAAGATGCTTGTCCCGATTACTGGATAAGAGCAATAACATCAGGGGTACATTATGTACGTATCTGTGTTGAATTTCATCCAAATGTCGCGAGTTTTCCCCACATTTACTTGCCTTTCAGGAGGTAGCTTGTGTGTTAACCCTCTGCGTAGAATTTCGTCTGAGTTCTTCTTCTTTCTTGATGGATTCTTTTATTCAGCAATCGTCGATCCAGAAATTGACTGAATGGCAGACTGAGAATACCCGGTTGACCCGCCAAAAGAACTCTGTAATGATTTATTGTCTAATTATAAATTGAAACGACCACCCCTGGATCCAATCCTTCATCAACTACAAGGGAGTGGTGGATCGAATTTGCCATTCGACAACATAATTGGAGTATACCAACGCATCAAAGACGACTATGAAGGACAAGCGGTTGGAGCAAAAGATGTGATCGCAGGAGCTTTTTTTGATTTCCAACCCGTAAGTATTTCCTTCCTGTTAAACGTACTTCATGCTGCATTTGACCTTGTTGTGGCTTGTTCTGTTGTACGGTTAGCTTTATCGCTTTCCCTTGTCTGGATTTATTTTGTCTTATTTTGTTGTTGTTATTGTTGTAAGTTTGTTCCCGTTTTTTCCAGTTCTTTATGCCCTCGCTTATGTTCGTTTCTCAGTTCTTTGGTGTGATTTCCATTCAGACCTGAAAAACCACCCGTTTCTAGCCAAATGACATTAATTTTCAGCACAGGTAGCCCAAGCTCGAAATATGAGCATCGGCGAACATCGGCATTGGTAATTGTTGCGTAACATTCGAAATATAAGGATTTGTATGGGGGCAAAAAGAAAAACAACAACAACAACAACTATTGTTTCTGTAACCTACAAAAATGAAAGGAGTTCAATTAAAAAAGGTTACCTTACTTCAAATGTGTGTTACGTCTGTCCTGTGTGGTCCACGGGTCGATTTATGGCCGTTTTATGGGTTTTTATGTAAACGGTTTTCTCTCTGTAGAGCGAAAACCGTGTTAAACGGTAGGGAGAATAGTTTTTTCCCATACTTTGGAACGTTAAGCGACAATGCCGATGTTCGCCGATGCTCATATTTCGAGCTTGGGCTACTTGTGTTTTCGGAGGGCAGTAGTGTTCAAAACTTCGGACACATTGTTAACTGTATTGTTTGTTCCTCCCTTGCGGCCGCGAGAGTGGGTAGAAAAGTTCCGTCCTTAAAGGGTTTAAGTCATTCTCCTGAAAACTTAGTAAAGGATTTTTTTTTCAAAAGAGTGAGTTTGAATTCGACTGTCATTCTTGCTTACTCACGACTATATGACATTAAAATATATAGAAGAAGACTAGCGTAGAAGCCATTGAATCAATAAAACACAATTGAGAAAAAAAAATGATTGTCCAATTGTAGGAAACAAAGCAGTACCTTGAAATATTACGGCACATGAAAAACTTCCAAGTGATGAAAAAGCAGCACAAAAAATGAGAGTGAAAGCGTATCAAGAGCGACAGAGAAAGAGAGTTGAGGTAAGTCTACAGACTAGAGGTTTACTACTCTGTGATGAAGCTTGCATGAAGAGTAAAAAAAAATGTGAATCAACCAGACGGCTTTTAAAAAAACTTCAAAAAGATTACCTGCTGGTTTTCACACTTGCCGTTATAGTTCTGGATTGTAAGTAGCCCACAAAGTCGAATCAGACATTTTGGATGAAAAATTGCTACACTAGGACACGTCAAGTTACAGCAAACTATATTTAAAAAAGCATGGATAGACTGCTCTCGATATTATCGATGCAGGTTCGTCAAAGTTAAAAGGAATAGAAGGAATTTTCTCTTGTTACATCCTTTCCTCCTTAACTGGGAAACTCGTGCACGTGAGGAACAAGGTGGGCTTATTCTTGGACTGTGGGAGAGGGAAGTGGGGAGGGCAAGGGGTTGTAACTCAGTTGGTAAATAAAGGTAAAAAATTTGGATAAGTCCGCATGTTTTCCCCGAAATAATCATCCTCAAAAATTTAGTACTAGATTAGAACAAACTGTTTATAACAAGAAGTACATGCTACACAATCACCTTGGTATTGTTAGCATCCTACAACAACAACAAAGTGACAGTTTTCATATTCGAATTACGTTCATTTTTCGTCGCAATCTAGTGTTATAACATTGCCTAGAAATATGATGTGTAAAAATAATCGAGAATTACTGATAGATAACCTTGATTTATCACCGTGATTACTTTAGGAAAAGCAGCTGCAACTTCATCAAGAAAATCAAGAACAAAAAAACGAGGTAGCAAATACACTGTCTATTTGGTTTTTCTTTTTTGTTGTTGTTGTTTCTATCCAATAAACGATTTGTATCTTGTACCATTTGCTGTTTGAACAGCCGGACAGGGCACAGACAAGGTCGGACGAAATTTTTAAAACGTTCAAAAATACTTTTGTCCAAAAAACACAAGATAGAGCATGAATTTTCTTGCAAGAAGGATGTTTAATTGAGGTATTATTTGAAAAGATACTGGAGTGGTTAGTGTAATGACGAAAGCCGTTAGCCTGATCATTGTAGGCTGTTTTCACATCTAATGGCCTTCAACCGTTTATTATTTTTTCCTTTTATTTTTCTTGAAGATGGAAATATTGATCACCAGGCTAGAGAAAGAGGGGGTGCAATATCGGCAGCAGATGTACAGTGAGCTGGAAGCACAGCGAGTTCAAATGCAAAATATGATGGTAGCAAAATATGAAGCAGGCCGAGCAGGAAGGAGAGGCCTTCATAAAAGATAACCAAACCTTAGAGGAGCGCTTTCTGGAAGTGCAAAGATCAAACGAAGAAAACATGAAACTGATAAGAAATATGACCCGTTTGATGCATCATGAGCAACATAAAGAGAAAGAGCTTCTTAGAGAAAATTCCAAGGAATTGCCCAGAGATAAAATGGAAGCCTTGTTAAACGAAATGAGTGAAAGACACACAGATGAGGAGAGGGCATTGCTTCAAGAGATAGATGACGAGTTTGAAGGAGCCAAGACGTTGAGGCAAGAAACCGGTGATGAAGGGGGTGAAAATTCATGCCACAAAAATTTGGATCAAGTACCAGAGATGATTGAATTGAGATCGGAAGCTGTGGGAATTGTACAGAAAAAGATAACCGAGACTCACCAGGAATAAGAAAAGGTTGAGATATCAAGTTACATAAAGAAATGGTTTTAAGTTATTGCGCGAACAGCAGTACCAATTGGTCAATTTGTTTTTAATGTTCAACCAGAAACAGTGCCATTCGTTGGGCCAGCAAGTGCTGCTATTGGTAGCACCGCTGACGCATTCTCAGATGTTTGCAGAGTCATGTGAAGTTGAGAAAGCCAAGGAACGTGTTACCTATGTCATCGCTGAGAAAACCAACAAAAAATTAGTCAAACCAACTGAGCAAGTGACACTTATACAATAACCGCTTTAAGGAAGTGCAAAAGTCTTAATGCAGAGTGATTTTTGATGTTTAATTTCGTTGATGTTCGATATTAGCCTCAAGATTTAATACTTTAAGATTTTTCGTGTTATCTTATCATAATTGGGGACAAACGTCTAGGAGAGCTTTTTTTATCCTTTTTTTTTGCGCAATGCCTTAAAAAATAAATCAAAGCAAAGCAAAACCATATTTTAACTATTATGTTAAATAATAAAGCTTAATTTTCACTTTTTTTTCTAAGTTAAGGACATTGGATATGATATTTTATGCGGTAGTTCTAAGATCAAAATAACTTTTACGCGCACTGGCTGTTCGAAAAAATCCTTTATGTGGAGAGATATCTATGAGCTTTCTTCCCGAACAGGTAGCTTGTATGCTGAATACTTACAGAGCTTAAAAATGCGATTTGATTTCAACAAAGAGGTTTTCAATGCAATTTGAAAGTGATTACCGTTCTGAAACTAGCCGAAGATTCGCGAAAGTTACGGTAGTAACCAAAAAAGGGTGAATAAATCAAAAAAGGTCAGTCTGTTGACTGCGTGACAACCAGCTAAAGCGTAATACTTTTTTGAAAATCCCGGATGTTTAACTATTATCTGAAATATAACGCGCACCTTTAAGCGGTTCCCTTGGTATCTTGTCACTATTTGTAGCTTTTGCTCTCAAAGACATGATTGAAACTTGCGCTCAGTTTTAACCCCATTCATATCAGTAGCTATATTCGCTATTGAGCTATCGTTTACAAGGATCGAGGCTGCTAACCTACCTTGCATCATAAACAGAAGTAAGTGTCATCTATTATTGTCTACAATACTTCGGAAATTACACTTTCCTTACCCAAATATTAAATCTACCTTCAGCTAATCTCTCTGGCTTCAAAGAGTCAAAAAATTGGTGTTTTCTTAAGCTGAGCACCAAAACAAATTATTTAAAGGAGTAAAGCTAGTCGCTTAGATGGCATTTATTAATTAACGATTGGTTTTAGGAATGTAAACGTAGATGAAATGTGATGAATGGTTGCAAAGTTCATGCCGTTTTGACAATATCGTTTGGCATAGTTCCTTTGCTTTAAAGAACTGATTACAGGGACAATATTTTTACTCTCTTAAGTAGTAGGTAGATATCCCGAATTGGACATCATTAACGAATGTATTGCAGCATACATGCCCCCGCTTACTTCCGCCTTTGTATGAAATGAAAAACAACAGCAGGCCGCATGCATGTCACTAGTAAGTATATATATTTATGTTGTAGTCGACCGTACTGGAGAGGCCCTTTAAAGTTTTCCTAGCGGAATAAAGATAGTGATAAAACCTTGAGCGACTTGTTGGATGCAGAAGGTTGGAACTGCCTCATTTTAAAAGCAGTGTTGAATCATGCGGAATTACAATGCATGAATGAAATCAACTATTTATCCACTAAACACCATCCAAAAATTGCTGTCGTTTTTGCCTGCAATATTACAAAGGAGCAGCATGTCCCCGACCTTATTAGATGTTTGCAAGTGAGATCAACGAGAGCGACGGTACTTAAGAGAGATCTGCGTGTTGGAGAGTATACAGAGAAGGGCATCTAGATTAGCACTTAATCAACACAAAGGAGAAATGGCTTATGACGATCGTTGTTGAAATGACGGTCGCTACCTGACTGTAGAAATTATTTATTTTTAATTGAGTGCTACAAGTTCGTCTTTGGATACTATCATTTGAATCTTTATGATATCTTCGAATTCCAAAAATTTGGGTCAACAAGGGCAAATCACCCCTTCAAATTGTATGTTAAAAGCGCACGGATCGATTGCTACAAAATAATAGTCTTTTTTATTAGCATAGTTTCGAAATGGAACGATTTACCGAGACATAGTGGAGGCTGAAAGCCTTCATCATATTAAACAAAAACTTCATCATTATCTATTTAATAAATTTGAAACTAAAACCGTGCTTTAATTAAGGCCTCGATTTTTGAATACTTGTATTGTATTTGATTTTTTATTTTGCGTTTTCTATTTCTGTTTGGGAGTTCTAATGTTGGGCTAACCTCTCAACTCCCTTTTCATGTCTTTTAACTACGTTATTTTCCTGTAAATGAGCTTGTTTGTGTGTGTATGTCTGTGTGTATTTCATGTGTATGTATGTGTGTATTTATGTATGTATGTATGTATACTATGGACAGTTAGTTTGTTTCGTCGAAGACAGATCATCCTGCAATATGTCGGCCTCTTTGTAACAGATCAGGGCGTCGTGGAACAGATATCTCGTGGACGCAACACCGACGGCAAGGTTTGCCTTTTGTTCATTTCCAGTTTAATAATTCTGCCCCTAAACGAAAAATTTCGAAATTCTCGAGGTTTTAAATGGCACAGACGTTCCTTTGAATTTAGACACCCTTGGAGATATTAGCATATTTGGGTCAATGATACAAATTTGATTAACTTAACCCTCGGACGTAAACGCAAATTCATACCGCCACCGTGGTACCAGGGGGGTTGTGGTGGGGGGTGGATGGAAGCCCTCCCCGGGGTTTTTGATATGTTGAAGTATTTTGAAACGATTTTACCCCTAGTGGAAAGCCTTTCACCTTCTTTACAAGATGTGGTATATTTTAGGGGTGGTGGCGCTGCTGGAGGCCTGTAACGTCATCAACAATGGCCGCCATCTTGGCTGCCATCTTGAGTTTTAGCAGGAATTAGAAATCAGATTTAAACCGCGAGAAATGGTACATTTTTGTGATTTATATGGAAAATAACACATAAATAAGCACTTTGCATGATTTTAGCCACAAGATTTCATTTTATTGTTGAAAGAAGTTGAGAAAACAGGTATTTTCAGCCAAAATTGGCTGGACCACCTGCTACTTATGACGTCATATCTCGTAACCATAGCATCACTAAACTTGTCTCAAATAGTGCGCGAGGGATGAACGAACAGCTACTGAAAACGTCAGGTACTGATGTTTTATCCTCTAGGAAAAATTCAGAAAAACCTTATGGGGGGGGTAACATCAATTCCCCTGTACTTCTAAGGGCTAAAGTGGCGTGGAGACTATGGCCACAGTTGACTGATATTTCGCTGAGGAGGAATTGTTGCAGTTGATTTTGGTTATGGGCTAGTTCAAAACACCAGACCTGAACAGATCGGTGACAGAAACAATGCAGTTAGCACCCAAGACAATTGCCTCTGTATGCTTGTTTTAACGATAGAGCTGGTACACTGTTGGGAGGGATCCAACACCGTTAATAGTCGGGGAGTGAATACTGCTCGTAAACAAAAAAGTAAATAAGATAATAATGATAATAATAATAATAACTGATAGGACAAGTATTTGTAAGGGGAGCCAACTACTTGGTAATAGTACTAAATTGAATACATCCAATTTCCCACACGAAGGTTGAGATGATAACACATAACAAGTACCTTGTGCCCATACAATGTGTTGACGGTTTTGATTTCAGACTTATTTCACACCTATCGATATAAGGGTACAGACAGTAGTTTTGGGCCTGCTATCCCGTACTTTGTTTTAAAGTTACAATTCTCTCTCCGCAGATTGGCAAGACTCGGCATTAGGACCACTGGAGCTTAGCTAGAACGTAACTACATTAATTTCTCTTACCATCCCTTTTACAGAAAAACTTAGTTGAAGGATGAATAAGGTGAGTTGATTCTTAAAATGACCAGCATCTGTTTCTTCTGCTTAAAGATTTATTCAATTTGTCCTTCTCAGCCGATGAGAACTATATACTTAGTCCCCGTGGCTCTCTGTAACATTAAGATAAGACAAGACGAGACAGGAACTTTATTTTCATACCACACACAAAAAAAAAGAAAGAGAAAAAGGTATAAAGCCACCTAAAAAATAGCTTTAATAGCTAATATGTCAAGGTGGCATTAGAGATTATTTTATAATAGTAAATAAAGATGCATTATATAAAAAGAGTATAGCGGGGGTTGGAGAGTTTGAGGTCAGCACAGAATTAAGTGCCCATGAATTCTTGAAGCGGAGTAATTAAAAATGCTACAGCAAGCGGAACACAGACTAGAGAAAATTTTCTATAGCGTTAAATCAGGAGGCGATAAATAAATGTAGCCAGTGGGTTAGGAACAATGCAAACAAACCTGTCATTGCAAGCTTATTTTTTGTTCGTTCAGGAATCGTGGAGAATTAGATTCCAGCACGAGGACGAAGAAGACGCCTTAGCTAAAGCGCTGGAATGGTCCACTCTTGAGGCACAGAAAGAGAATAGCTGCAGCAGACAGGTTACCAGCTCAAGCCAGCCTTTGTGCGAAAACACGGTAAAGTAAACAAAACAAAAAGAAAGTAACAGCAATAACAGCAACACCAAGTACTAAAAACCCAGAAATTTTAAACTCGCTTAACACAATACGAGATGTTTTCACGACTGCGTTTACTGGAACTTTTTCCAGCTTAATTGATTAAATTGTTCCAGTGACCAAAAAAACCCACATTTTTTTACCTTCCCAGGTCAATATGTTAAGATGACGTTGAGCTTGTTTGTTTGTTTGGACAGGGAATCAATGACGAAGATGACGAGCAATTAGCAAGGGCCATACATTTATCTCTTTCCAAAGTCCACGCCGGAGTAGAGGGTAAAATAGAATTTGCCCAGCTTCAAAGGAGTGCTAAAGGAACTGGTAAGTTATAACATTTTAAAGCCTTATTATTGGTGAACAAGTTTAACGACGAAATGAATCGAAGCGAAGATATAACCTTAAGATAATTTAGCCTATCCCTCAGGGGCCCTACTCACATATTTCAGTGACGGGGGGGTCCGAAGGATTTTTTTGGGTCTGACATTTTGGCCAAAAGGGATTTTTTGGGGTCTTTGAAAGACGCCGGGATTTTTTGGGGTCGCGAGAACAACACAGGGATTTTTTTGGTTATTGTATTTTTCATCAGCTCAAATCAAAAATAACATGAGCGCAATTTATAGTTTTGTTTTTGACCAAAACCAAAGATGAAGCTGGCATGTTTTAGCTTTCCAGAAGATAAATAATAAAATTTGCTGATGCAAAAACACTGAGGGATTTCTTTGGGTATACTAAAAAAAGTAGGGATTTTTTTTGGTAGACAATACTGAAGTTGGGATTTTTTGGGGTATAAAATATGAACCTCTGTCGGACCCCCCCGTCATTAAAATATGTGGGTGGGGCCCCTGGGGCCCATCCTCACTGTCCTGCGATGTTAAATGAATTCCTTTTTCCGAACATTTTGTTAAACTTGAAATTTGTATCGCGCAAAACTACATTCTCTTTTTCTGACAGGTACTCTCATTCAAGGGCAGAGAAAACTGGCAATTCCACTTTGCTTGCCAAACAACTGGGAGTGGAATCCTACAACAGGAAAATGTACTAAGAAAGGAGACAGGCGATCGTCTCTTTATGTGGTGGAAGATGCAATAGCCCAGCTTAGACAGATTAAAGGTTTCATAAATGACTCTGACATATACCTAATTAAACTTAAATGCTTGATGAGGATCCTACAACAGAATAAGAGATATACGAGATACTTTTCATTGTAACGAAACACCTAAGTTCATTCCTATTTTCTCGTCTTATGGAGACTGTATCTGTTGGCTTAATTTTAAAATTGATGTTAAGTTTATTTTCCTTTGATTTTTGTGCATTTAAATGCACGAAAATTAGGAAGAAAATTAAAACTAAACGAGCAAAAAGTAACGAGATAATGTTCCGACGTTTCGGCGACATCATGAAGCCATTACTTTTGGAATAGAAATAAAATACGAGCTCAAAAGGAGTTAAAGTACTCTAAATTTGCATGGAACGCTTTCAAACTAAAATGTGTTTTTCCAAACTTGTAATTTTCCGTCAGCCTCATAGAAATTCCTCTGAGTCTATTCTTCACCCATTGTAGATCTTGTATTCCCAACAACAACAAAACTGATGCGCTAAAAAATGCATTTATTTCAATAGCTAAATTTTACAGGCAATATTATTCATAAGTAAACATTTTGCATGAACAAAAAGCAAAAATTTTGCATTCGATAAAATAAACACAAAATACCTAAAAATCACTGGATCAAGCTAAGATGCAAAAATTTTGCATCTGGGAAGCTGGATACAAAATACCTAAAATCGACTGCATCAAGCTATGATGCAAAAATTCTGTATCTGGAAACTGGATACTAAATACCTAATATCTGCTGCATCAAGCTACGATGCAAAAATTCTGCATCTGAGAAACTGGATACAAAATACCTAAAATCGACTGCATCAAGCTAAGATGCAAAATCTGCATCTGGAAACTGGATACAAAATACCTAAAATCGACTGCATCAAGCTAAGATGCAAAAATTCTGCATCAGGGAAACTGAATACAAAATACCTAAAATCGACTGCATCAAGCTACAGTCTCAGTCAAAACTGCTGGGACACTTTTGTGACTTCTCATCCCCCCAATATTGGTGTACTCGATTTGGTGACTGAATCGCAATAAACAACATTGGGAGGGAAAAGGAAAGCACAAGAAAGGAAAAAACATTGTTTCCTTTAAGTGTCCCAACTATAGCTGTATTTTTGTCTGGGATTGTAGGTTTATCACTCAAATGACTCTGAGAAGTAAAAAAAAAAAAAGCAAGAAAGAAAGAAAGAAAAGAAGAAAAACAAGATTTTTAAAATTTAACATACATAAAAGGCCAGGGTTGTCACTAAGATTTCGAGTCTTCATAGCCAATAATATTACGGCTTAACTAACAGACGACCACTAACATAGCGACGTAATTGACCAATCAGATCAAAAACCAGAGTATAATACCATCAACTGACGTGATACAACTCACTTTGACTCTGAAGATGACTACCTCACAGGTTGTCAAAACGTCAGTCACTGCCAACCTCAACAGTCCTATTCAGGACTACGTTCACCAGGACGATCAAACTCAACCTACTTTTGATAACTAGTTTTACTAACAAAAGCAACTGACTTTGTATCGGTTGTGTAAGGTATACCAATTCATAAACATCAAGCCTTTTATGGCATAAGCTGACTAATGTCTGATTTATGCCTTTTTAGGTCCAGTGTGTGTTGTATCCATTGCTGGCACATACAGAAAAGGGAAGTCATTCGTGTTAAGCCAAGCCTTTGATCAGCCGGACGTCTTTCCTTTGGGGCATTCCATGGAAGCTAAAACCATGGGGATCTGGTTATGGGTCGTACCTGGAAAGTATAAGGTTTGGAATTCAAAAGATGGTAAATGTTAATTATTTCTTGGAAAATGGAGTTCTCTTTATCAAATATTACAGTAGACTGGAAGAGACTCAAAGTCTTAGGGTAGTGCTTTTTACTGAGGAAGGCCAACGTAGCGGTAATGAACTTTGCATTGAGATGGACAAGTTAATTCGGGAAACAGAACTGTTGTTGGTGTATAAATCACAGAGAAGATTTAAGTGGTTATCCTAGTATCATAAAATGATCTCGCTAAAAGTAAAATGTTAACGTACAATTAAATGCACAGCACTTAATCGTTCCATGGCTACAGCCTCGAACAAAACTCTTGAGACACTTCCATCATTTTTCAATATGCGCCATACTACTCCAATTTCCTCTAAAAAGAACAAAGTCATTCCTACCCTCCCCACCCCCCATTGAAAGCGTTGTTTTAAGGTAAAAAAAAAAAAAAAAAAAAAAGGCGTACAATTCTGGCTTTACCCAAAACAATATTGAAGGGGGAAGGAGGAGAAACAGTTTTACATTCCTTCAAGAATGAGTGAAAAAAAAAGTACTTTTGTAGTGTGTTTCAACGCGTTTTGTTTGAGAAATTGTAGCGCTACACCAACTTTCTTCAGTATCAAAGCCGTTTATTCAATTGTTGGTTCGTGTTGTACTGTTAAACTCAGAATTCTAATGGCCAGGAGTTTACAGTGGTTTTACTGGACTCTGAAGGAACTGACGCGTCAGATGGTAAAGGTTTGGATGATCATCAGATTTTTACCTTAACTGTTCTATTAGCTTCTGTGCTAATATACAATTCTCAAGGAGTACCCACAAGACGTGATGTAGAAGGACTGGAGTATCCTTCACAAGATACACAAGATAGATAACTATGTTCTCTTTATTGAAAAAGTACAATAAACTTAAACCAGCTATTACTAAGGCGCTGCATTCACTTTATTAGAACAGAAGGGCAGTTTGTATGCGCATGCGTCAATATAGTCTGTTGAAGTGCCACAGAGGCATTTTCTGTGAATTGTTTACGTTCACTACGAGCATTTGCAGGCTGTTTTTTGGAGCTGAATGACGTATATTGGGAGCTACGTTCCCCAAACGTGGTCTTTAAGGTATCGAGGTATTTCTCCGATGAAAATGAGTTTATTGTAGCTTCGCTGTCGCCCTTGAGAGGACAGTCTTTCCTTTCGTAAACAGTACATCGAAGACAAGATGGCAGCTGAATGTTGTTACGACCTAACATTTCGCGCACAGTTTTTGAGCAGCAGGAAAAGGTCGGTATGATAATTCTTCTTTGAACAATCATGCTATAGATATTTAATTCTTCTCAACAGAATAACTCTAAAATCGAACTTAATCGTTTCAGGAATACAGTGGTAAATTAATTGTCCATTTTGCCGTGAAATTGTTTTTCACCCTTTCGCTGGCTTCTTTATCTCGAAATCTTGCCTTTCTCCCCAAATTAAGTTAATGATTAATAAAACTAAGAATACTTCCGCGAATGAATGGTGCTTTGATGAAGGCTCTGAAATGAATCGCCTTCTGTAGCAATAGACCTTGTCACGGTTTTCGACGCCATCTTGACGAGTAGGCAAACGCGTGAGAAATTACAGTGTTTGTATGAGAATCTAATGTCGAATAATTTCCGTAGAAGGGCTGTTCTGAAAAAAATATGATTTGTAAACTAAAGCTTCACTCCTGAGGATTCTCCTGAAAAAATATGAGGGCGTTACAAGCATTAGAAGAGCTAGAACCACTTTTTTAAATTCCTATACATTTGTCTGTAAGAAAGTCCCGGGAAAATTACAGACAAATACATGGAAAATGTAAAGCAAGCCTCTGGAGAAATTTAAGCACAGGTGCGCCCCCAAATTTTTTAGGACAATCCTTTGATTTGTAGCTTTAGTTTACAATTGATATTTTTTTTCAGAACAGCCGTTTTACGGAAATTATTCGACATTAGATTCTCATACAAACACTGTAATTTCTCACGCGTTTGCCTGCTCGTCAAGATGGCGTCGAAAACCGTGACAAGGTCTATTCAATAGCTTTCTTCACCGGTACGTCTTCGTTGAGAAATAAAATACACGCACTTCAACTATAAATTTAATTCAATATAATGACGTCTGTAAGATTGTGTTTTGAAAATAAGAAAATTCTATTATTTAGTTATACGAAAGAAAAAAAAAAACTACAGAAATCGGTTTGAATTCTGATTTTTTCCACCTTATTTTAATAGTACACTGTTTGTTTACATTTTATTATGCAAAGAAATATAACATTTCGGCGTTTTAAAGAAAATCTAGCCTAACTCCCCAACCCCAAAATAGCACGAAATGAAACGTTATGAATACACCTTTTAAATAAATCCCGGTTTCTGCTGCAAAAAAAATGCATTTATTCCTAAATGATGCCATTTTGTGGACACTACATTTTTTGATATGCTAATTTGTGAAACATTTCATTCACATTCTCCTCTGTATTGAACCACATTCTTGTTAAATGCATCAGTATCTGCTTGATAATTCTTCCCATAGGGTTCTATGTACAACTTACATAAGGGGTGCATCTGGACACAGTAAAAAGCTCTCATCAGACACGTTAATAACAAACAGATTCACCGCCATCCATTTGTGTCATGTTTGTTGTCGCCTCCCAACTCATTTGGGTCCTTTAGCAGTGGTATTTCTTTTTTGAGGAAACAGCATTATATGCCCTCCTCTAACAAACGTCCTGTCTTATGTTTTAACAGGCTTTGAAGGTGAACAAACATCATCAGTTAGATTTATGGAGTGACGGGCATTCTCTGTTCTTGATGAATCACTGCTGCCATCAAATATGAATTAAAAATAAGAAATCGATTGTGGAACACAGGAGCTGTTACTCAAGAGTCGCTTCAAAACAGTAGTTTCTTTTAGAGTTAAAGAAAGATAAAAGTATTGTTCGTTTTTTCGGTGTATGTGCATTTGTTTTGTCTTCAAGTGAGCTTATGAAATGCTCAAGTTACATAATCACATGCAATTGTTACTGTCTCAGACCCAATCCATTCTTCATTTCCTGTGGAATATATATTTTATATATTTTTCCGCGAAAACTTTCAAAAAACTGTAAAAAAATCCCAAAGATTTCGTGTTTTTGTGGCAAATATAAACGCGTCTCCGCGATCAGTTTAACGTGAGACATCGCGCTAATAAATAAACCTCACGTAGTAAACAATTTTTCGCTTTTCTTAAAGCAACTGATGAACATTGCTACGATGCATTTCTTCCTAGATATAAAGTAAAACCATGAGTTTTGACATGAAACCATAGAAATGCAATGCTTTGCTGGTGAAAATTAGACTTATACAGGGACAGTGATTTTTGGCGTTGAGTCTTTAAAGTCTTTAAAAGGTCAAGAAAACCTAGTGCTGGAAAATCCCGCTTTGAAAACGTCCGATTTTTTTCATGGAGAGCATTTTTTGTAGGAACTGAGTACGATATTCAAAGCACCAACGAAATAGCTTTTAAAAGGACTGTACGTAACTTTACGCGAGTTTTCGATTTCCCGCCATCAGATTTGATGAGCCCACGCTATTGTCATTCAGCGGATGCACGCATGCGCATGCAAAATGCCTTTCTGTTCTTTATTAGTGCTAGACCCTGTTAAATTTGTAAGATATTTTCATATATTACTCAGTTTTACTTTTAATGATCTGTCGTCATTTTCTTGTAATTATAGAATATTTATACACTATTTTCTTTTCACTTCATAGTAACGATAAGAAAGTCGAAACGTCGTCTCGTTTTTGAAACTCCTTAAAATGATTCTTAGTGATATCGTATCGCAGTTTTTTCTTTTATATAATCAATTAATCGTAATCATAACCATAATAACCATCACGATCGCAATCTTTTTGCACCGCTACCCTTACCGCAATCGTTATCGCAATCGTAATTGTAATCATAATGATACAAATCATAATGAAACGCAACAAGGTTTCAGATAAAAATTATTTATCCAAGAGACGGACAGGTTGTAAATTTATGATTTACTAACATGACCCAGATTACAGGTCATGAGAAATACTGACCATGGGCCACAGCTGTACCAATAAATAAAAAGTGGAAAGTAAACTTTCTTGCCCATCCTTGACAATGCAAAGCTTTATTGTTAAACTTGCTCAGCGAATTCACATTCGATCACATTCTGGTAAAGCTTCTAAAGGAAAAGACATCGAATTCTTCCACAAGACATTCCCATACTTCATCTGGTTACTAAGGGATGTGACGCAATCCATTCCCACTGACTGCAAGGACATACGAGACTATTTCTTGAAAAAGGTAAACGAAAAGGAGTACTTACAAGGAAAGGTACTTAGATAACTTTAAGTATTATAAGATCAGGCTACGCCGTTTGTGGCATTGGAATCTTAAAAAGGTTAACAGTGATCGAATCCCTTGATTTGTCGAAGAGGAAATACCTCTTGAGCCTTAACTACGCACTGACCATATAAAAGCTTCTTGCCTCAAAGAAGCATATAATTGACTCTTTTTTACGAAAATATTCCTTGAACATTAACCCCATTTTATGCCTTCAGATTTATCGTTGATTTATCTTTCACTTGATGTTCTAGGTTTTCCAAGAGCAGACATCCTCCTTCCCTGGTGATAGAAGCAAACAAGTCTCTGAAAGCATTTTGCGTTTGTTTCCTGGATTTGACGCGTTCATGCTACCACCTCCCACAGTTGATAGCGACTTGATGAAAAGACTAACAAAGGAGAAAGATCGGGTGAATCCTTTATTCTGGAGCGCTCTAGAGAAGTTTAAGCCCTTAATCAGAAACAACGTGGCTCCTAAACACAGTTACAATCATGGCGAATATGTCTCAGGAGAAGGTAAAACTATTAAATCAGTGAAAGTGAATTAAGTTTAGGTAGAACTTTATCATGTCGTGAAAGATATTAATCATCGTGGATAATGTGTATAAAGGGTATAGTTTTATCGTCGATAGTGTCGATTTACTGAGTCGAACTATTTGTACCACCGTGGTTGTTAGTGATTGGTGTATCACGAACCTCGCTCATGATTGGTGGGTTTCGATCCGAAGCACTGTTGTCATTGTGAGGGGAAGAAACTGATCCCTGAGCTGTCCGCTGCGGTGGAGGCTATCAACATAAGACTTCACCCGAACAGCATCAATAGGGACAGTGGAATTAAGATTCCTGAAGCGTGGAAAATTCGCAAATGTTTTAAATGAGATGGAAATGGGGACACATAAAAGAAGTGATTTTGACGAAAAAGCGCCTTGGCGAAAATTCCAGGAGATTGCAAAAGAGACCCGTGAAAAACGTGCGGTTTTGGCGAAAATGATGAATTTTGCAAAATTTGCCAAAGGTTTCTCTAAAATTCAAAGAGAGGGGAAAAAAGCCCCATGGAAAGTGGCGATTGTAGCGAAAATGGCGAATTTGGTAAAGATTTCCCCAAGGTTGGTGAAAATTCAAACTAGATGGCAAAACGCTTAAAAGGGGCCCCTTGGAAAGTGGCGATTTTGACGAAAATGAGGAAATTTGGCGAAGATTCGCCAAAGGTTGCCACAAATTTAAATGAGATGGCAAAAAGTGGCCTCTTGGAAAGTGACTATTTTAACGAAACGGCGAATTTGGCAAAGATTCGCCAAAGGTTGGCTAAAATTTATATGAGATATCTGAAGGCGCACCTTGGAAATGGCGACTTTGACCAGAAATTGGCGAATTTGGCTTGATCTCTGTCGCGTTTCATTATAGGTCTCGCTGCCTTGGTTAATTACTATGTCAAGGCCATAAACACCCCTGAAGCTATTCCAAATGTGCAGAGAGCATGGGACCATTTTGTTACAATCAAGTGTTCTGATGTAATTAAAAATGCTCTGGTAACATACGACGCACTCCTGAACTTCCGACTCTGATGAAAGAAAATTTCAATGTTCTATTATTATATAAGCTGTGACGTAAATTCATACGGAAATGAGTTCTAGGCAATCAGAGGAGCGAACGATGCTTTTCACACGTGAAAAAAGCGATACGTCCAATCAGAATCACGAACGATATTTTTTCACGCGTGAAAAAAATGATACGTCCAATCAAAAGCCACAGCAGTGTGTGCGTTTCGCGCCAAGATTTCCGCCGGTTTTTATGCACTTGCAGCTTGCAGTGCCCTCGCATTGAGAGTTGCTTTGCACCTTGGAAATGGCGACTTTGACCAGAAATTGGCGAATTTGGCTTGATCTCTGTCGCGTTTCATTATAGGTCTCGCTGCCTTGGTTAATTACTATGTCAAGGCCATAAACACCCCTGGAGCTATTCCCAATGTGCAGAGAGCATGGGACCATTTTGTTACAATCAAGTGTTCTGATGCAATTAAAAATGCTCTGGTAACATACGACGCACTCCTGAAGTCCCAGATCTCGGGCGAACTGCCTTGTGATAGCATCATAATCCGTATGAGTCACGACGTTGCTTTTCAAGAGAGTGAGAACCAATTCATGGCCGAAATTGCAGGGATATCTACCAACACAGTGGAAATGAAAATGCGAGAACTCAAGGTACGTCCGCAACGGGCCATTTGCATGATGACGCCCCTTTACTACTAGGATGATATTCCATCAGAGTTCTCCTTTCATGTGGAAATTTGGGCTGTTGTTATTATTTTATACCTCTCTGGGATTACTAAATTTGAATATGAAAGGAAAAGTGAAAAGGATTCTGGTCGTAGTAGTGAAATGACGCCATCATACAAATAGCCAATTGCACTTAAATGCAGTATCATTATCTGATAAATTAATAGTTATTGAATTATTACCATTGTACAATAATTTTTAGAGATAGATTATTCATCTATGCATGAGGGTGAACGCCGAATATACGAGGGTAGGTTAAATGCTCCAAGTTAACTATACGATTATTGATGCTGAGTTCAGCTAAATTGTGAGGACCGCATACGCCTCTCAACCCTCATGCCGTGTTACGGTAATTTGGGAAGATGTGGCTTCCGACTCTGATGAAAGAAAATTTCAATGTTCTATTATTATATAAGCTGTGACGTAAATTCATACGGAAATGAGTTCTAGGCAATCAGAGGAGCGAACAATGCTTTTCACACGTGAAAAAAGCGATACGTCCAATCAGAATCACGAACGATATTTTTTCACGTGTGAAAAAAATGATACGTCCAATCAAAAGCCACAGCAGTGTGTGCGTTTCGCGCCAAAATTTCCGCCGGTTTTTATGCACTTGCAGCTTGCAGTGCCCTCGCATTGAGAGTTGCTTTGCAGACATTCTGAAGAAAAGACCCAAGGTAGAGTTTTTCTCGTAGAAAAAGGAGAAAAATCGCGGAAATTGGATTGGAATGGTTTTGTATATTTCACTATCGATGAAGAATATTGAAGAGAGCTGGGGCAAAACAAAGGCGAAAGGGGAAAAACACAACAAGAAGTAAGCTTGTACTTGAACTTTTTATCGGAGCTAAGCTTTTTAAGCCACTTGCTTGTGTTTTTATTAAAACCGGTCATTTCACTCAAAATCGTTCATTTTTATTTGTACATTCAGAAAAAAGTTAATATTACTTGTAATTTCTGGATTATTTCATATATCCTCACCCTCATTACAACTTTTACCAAGCGAATTTTAATACTAATATAAGCTTATTATAAATCACTTCGTTTTCTTTGTCGTTTCACGGTGTGCATAGTCATATTTTGGCATTCAGGATTCTGGAAAGATTTGAAATAAAAGGCTGGTAAAGTGATGTCTCTATATGAAATATAACAAGAACGCTCTTACCGCGACAGTCAGTCTCCCTTGCTTGGAGATTAGATCAAGAAATGTGGAGGCGATTCATTGTACATGAAACAGGGTTTACTCGCTAAAGGTTTTTTACTTCCTACTTTATCGACGTAGATACTTTTTATTTTTTTTCTGAATTGATTTAGTACGCGTTTTAGCGACGACCAGAAATACGTCTGCGGTCGCAAGCTATACGCAACGCAACGATTCTTAGTCCCAGTTTCTACGGTCTCTGCGGTTTCTACGCCTAGCACAATAATCCCTTTTTGTGTCCTGAATACGACAAAAAAAACGCGTTGCAGATTATGAGTCTCGCCGCTTACGCAAGCGAGACTAATAAATACAATACCACGTGGAAAGTGCTTTGTATTCTTTATATATGTTGCGCTTTAGGGGATCATGGGAAGTTACCCAAAATGGTTAGCCACGAGCATGGAATAATTTGTTTATATGTCCAGTATTGAATCAGCTTTGGCGCCAAATAAGCCTTAGTTTGTATGCACAATTACTATTGTCGAGGCCGTAGGCAGACGTCGAGGCGGAGAACATCCTCCAAGATGTCCATAATTCTTCAGATGATACGAAAGCCGAATGTGTTTTGTTTTATTATTCATTCAAAGTAATTCCTAGTTTAAAAACAAGCTAAAGGATGCTTATCTCCATGGATATTAAGTTCATTTTCCATAGTGCATATGTTTATCGGCAAGGGTTGTTCAGTTCTGCAGGTTCTCCAAATAACAGATGTCCGTCCAGTTGTCTTGTTGCTGTTTATGCTGTGTTTTTAGCCAAACGTTCGCCTATTTCTTCCTTGTCAACCGAGTAAAAAGAGTTCTGCCGCTTTTTATCACTACCCAGTAAACAACTCAACCTCTTCCCCATGTTTTCTCGGTTAGTGGTTCAATAATCTTGCAATTTTGCTGCAAGATTGACGTCATCAGTTCAATATCGCAATTTTTTTCCAAATTCGGTCAACAGTAGCTGGTTATAATGCATTATGCATGCGTGTGATTTTAGCCAATCAGAAATAATGAAATATTTTGAATGAATGATAAGAACAGACTTAAATCTTTTGATAGCGTCAGTGGCATGTTACATATTCCATCCGCCCTAGACAAATCAGTCAAGTCCAAATTTCCGAAAAATCCATAATCTCTTTATTGAATTTCCCATCAGGAGTGCATGGCCCAAAGATTGCTCTCGTGGCACTACGAAAATGAGGCTAGAACAAAGGAAGCGTGTAAGGAAATTCTTGTTCGACTTAAAAGGCTTCACTTGGATCCTGTTCTGGAGAGACTCAAAGGGCGGGAAGGAGCCAAAGTATCATTTCAGAACATAACTAACGCGTACGATAAAATTAAAGATGACTATGGAAAGAAGGCAAAAGGCGCTAAGGATGTTATCGCTGCGGTGTTCTTCGAGTACCATCGAGTAAGAAAACCATCTGCTGCGTAACTGATCTATGTCGTTATTAACTTATTGTTATTATCATTATCATTATCATTATCACTGTTATTATTATTATTATTATTACTATTATTATTGAGTTCCTGGCATTCGGTCAATTTTCCAGTCCTTTCTCGAGCGCCCCAATAACAACTGGTATCTTCTCTGTCTCCGTTTTCTACATTTTGGCGATTTCATGCTCGAAGTCTTTATACTTAGAGAGTTTCCCGACTACCTTAACGGATGTATTTCTGTCCGATGGGATTGCCATATCTATCATATGGCATTTCTTAGTAGTGTGATCTTCGATGATGATATCTGATATCTGTTATCTAAGACATACTAGTGTAATTGCGATTGATTTTCTCTCTCAACATCCGAGTCCAAACCAAGGACTTTGGCAGGCAAAGAGGGTTTCTACTTGATGGAGAGGACCCGCCTGAGAAGGTGGGCTGTAGAAAGGAGAGTTATTTCTTGAGTTCGTGTATGTTGATGTTGCCAGGGATGTTATTGGAGTAGTTTTCCACGTTCTTCTTGATGGTGCTAAGGACTCCCATAACTCACCTGTTGTGTTGGTACCAGCGTGTTGGGAGGCTTTTATCCTAGGCTTCGATGATTAAACCCTCGGTTTCTGCCTTGAGGTCAGCTGCTTTTAGCCATCTGTGGGTCTTGTCTTGGTCCACGTACTTGTTTCACCCTTTGTGGGTATTTGCCGTGGAGCGCGTTTGATTCCCACTGGGACTTGAGCTGTTGGCGACCCTGGTGTTTGGCCTTGGCCTTTGTTCTGCGGACATGGGTGGTGTTCGCCCTTTTCCGCTGCAGGTGGTATTGCAGACACTCCCAATTCCCGACTGAACGTCATTGACTGTCTGCTGATAGAGTACAAGGGTTTCCTGTCGTTATGGTCTTTGACAAAGTGGAGGAGGGTGTCCTGCGTCTCCTGGAGGTATTTATTAAGACCGATGGTGGTTGACTTGTAGGAAAGCTCCAGTTGTATTATAGCCCCCTACCTCCTTCAGTTCTGGGCTGGTACAGCCTGTCCACATCAGATTTGGGGTGGTGCATCTTGTACATGGTCAGGAACTTTCTAGTCTTAATTTGTATCAAGTTTGGGCAGCTCTTGTAACGTCCAGTTTATGATGTTAAAACTGTAAGTACCACTGGTACCGCCAAAGTGTTGATGACTTCCAGTTTGTTTGTCGTGTTCAGCTTATTATTGTCATTATTACTATTACTATTATTATTATTATTATTATTATTATTATTATTATTATTATTGTTATTATGATGTTTTGATTATGCTTTGGTACTAGAATTCTCAGTAACCTTAGTTTCATGTCCTTCTTGTCAAGACACAAAGGACTGTCCTTTACGGTACGTTCAACTGGATTATTCACTACGGTTAAAATACTTTATTTTGTTTATATAGTATGAACGGGCATCTTATTAGAAGTCAGTGGGTATTTAATCTTGTTCTAGTCTTCTCTTTTAATTTTTTTTTTAATTTTTAAGGAACTGATACAAGAAAAACAGCAGTTTCTGGGATTGCTTAAACAGCTTAAGGACTTTGACGAAAATCTTACTCGTGAGTTGATTGCAAAAGCTTATCAAGATCAGGAACGGAAAAGATTGCAAGTAAATATGAAACTGAATGCTTCATAATATAGTAAGAAACATATAGATGTCTGTTAATTATAGGGCTTGTTTTACGTATTACAATGGATCTGGCCCATTGCGGCAAAATAATTTATTTCCTTTAGCCGATTTTAAACCTAAAGCTGCTATCGGATTCGCAAATAATGAAAATAAGGGACGTTTTTACCGAAAAAGTGAAATTCTGCAGAAACAATAAATCCGTTACATTTCGAACGTTATAACCATTGAATTTAGGTAAAGATATATAGTGCTGTAGGGTGTTGATGGTTTGAGGTTAAAAAGCTGTTGCGAGTAATGATATGACATTGGTGGAAGTCTGGCAATTTTTCATCTGCAAGCCACACGAAATGTCAAATCTTAGAACACACTTTAGTTAACGGTGTATGGTCTTCCTTCACAGGAACAGCAGTCACGATTGCAGCAGGAAAATCACGAACAAAAGAGAGAGGTAACAATGAATAATGACTCATTTTACCTGAAAGGCGCTTTTTTATGAGTCTCCAAAGTGCTTTGGTCCTGTTTAAACTTCAAATTTCACATCTACCAAATTTCATTCAGCAATTAAATGTATGTGAATTTTAGGCGTCTTACCCTGTTAAATTTGAATTAAATGCGACTCTCGCCATTTCGGACAAGCTTGAAATGTTCAAAGTTTTGATTGAGTCATGTGCGTCGAACCTAAGCATACCGAATCAACGCTATTTTACAGGTGCACAGGTGCTAGTTTAAGGGTACTCGTGATTAGTTATTCAATATGACGCGTTTTGTCTCTATTTATGACAACCATCTTTTTTTGCTGTGTAGATTCAGTATAATATGGCTCTAAATAATCAATATTTGATTTGACAGATAGAAATATTGATAAAAAACCTGGATCAAGAAAAGAAAAGATTTAGTGAACACATGAAGAGTGAAATGATTGCACAACAGGAACAGATAAAGAACATGATGGATGCAAATATGAAGCAAGTTCAGGAGGACAGAAAGGCCTTCATTGAAGAAAACGAAGCTTTGAAAGATAATTTAAGGGAAATCCAAAAGCGCAACGAGGAAAACGCGAACTTGATCAAGCAATATTCTGACTTAGTCGCCAAAACAGAAGAGGAAATGCAGAAACTTCGTGAAGACATGCAAAATAAAGCTGCAAAGGACAGGGGAGCAGAAATTCAGAAGTTAAAGGACAGACATGATAGAGAGATGAGAGCCATACGTGAAGAGATGGAGAAAAATAAAGTCAAAACCGGCTGTGGTGGTACAGGATTTACAACACGCGCGGAAACAGCAGCGAGCCTAAATAACAAGATTCAGCAAACGTACGACGATCAGGAAGAGGTCGAAAAACCTGGTTTCTTTAAAAAGCTTCTTAAAACTGTAGGTCGTTATCTCATTCCAGTGGCTGGTACCGTGGTTTCTGCAGTTTTCCCTGTCCTTGCGCCAATTGCTCTACCAGTCGCTGCAGGTTTAAGTGCTGCCGCTGTATTCGTCTCTGATAATTGTAGCATTTTGTAAAAAAAAAAAAAGGAAAAAAAACAAAATCTTGTGTTTAACAACCTTTTTCAAAAACCTTACGTTAGTGGTAATCAAATCGATTGAGAGACAGATATATATTATCTCCACGAACCCATGTCTCGCAATTCCCAGAAGAGACTTGAGCACGAAGAGAACCAATCCAAGTATAGAAAAGCTGATCGGAAAGCCTCTGAGTCAAGTTAGAATTTTAATATATCGAACGTCAGGGCTATTAAGAAGAACCGGGACTTCTCATTGAAATGATGTAGCCCTTCATCCAGGCTGAGTTCTTAGCTATTTACTCCTTATCGTAAGAAAACTGTGTTTTATGGTCGTATGCAGTAGAGTGCTGTTATGCCTCAGATCATGGGCTTTAGGAAAAATCGGTATCGACGAGCTTGGTGTATAGCTTAATTCATCTCAAATAGAGTCAATTTACTTTCAGTGACGTAGTCTTTTGCCTGTCATGATCATTTCTCCTTAAAGTCCTAATCTTGTATGACTAGTAGGCCGCGTGGTGTAATGTAAGCTTCATACCCCATTCGTGATCGCTAACACACAAGCGTTATCCTATTACATGTACAGTACCTAACAAACTAGTGTGCTTAGCGCTCGCACCATGGGCTATAGGAAACATGGGTTTCGACTAAACAAAGGTTAAACTTTTATTCAATGAAGCTGAATCACTTAAATTGAAGTATTCTTTAGTTCTTTCTGGTTAGTTCTGCTGGTACATTTCTTGTAGAAAAGTCTGGAAACACTAGTTTGATTCAGAAGTCGATATGCATTCGTTAAGTCTTGGTAACGAGCGTTCTCTTCGAATCCTGGGGCGTTTACGAAGGACCGCTGTTTGTCGTGATGTTGTTACCAAAGAGTGTGTTGTTGGTGCATAGTTGTTGTTTCGCTTAAAAGCCACTGCCAGGCTTTCTTTCTCGTTACCGTCGCCGTTGTCGCTGATGAAGCTTGCTAATAGAACATAACTGCGCCTCCGGATCCGTCGACATTTTGCCTGAGAAAGAAAATGCATGTCTAATACATGTGCGAGTTTTCGAATAGTCCCACGGACACTATTCAACTTTCTTCAAACGATTCGATCAGACTCAACACAGAGCGGTGTCATATATAGGAGCCTCGAGCAAAGTGAACTTCACTGGGAAATAATTATGCACAAATTATATTAATAATAATTTTATATTGATAAAAATAATAAGAGTTTTTACTTTCAAGCTACATAACAAATCCTTATACAAATTGCTCTTCGCGTTAAGATACAGTGCGGCTCAATTGCTAAGCTTTTATATGACGCGGTATTTACGTGGCAGTCGAGTGAGCTGTAGCCTGAGAAAGCCAGTCGACATCCAGTACTGATGGCACTTCACTACCCAGAACTGGGGTGGTGCTTCTGATTGGTTACCCTGTGTTAACGCATGTGTTTTTATCATGAGAGGCAAGAAATGATATTTTTTGCTTCCTTCTGATATCCTGGTCAACGAGCTAACCACATCTGTTCAACAAATGCAACAAGAAACCGAAAGTTGTGCTTTGGACGAAGATCCATTGGTGGTAAGCAGTGAAAAAAGCGAAAACAAACCGTCGCAAGTGAGAGCTATCCACCCAAGCAAGGATCTAAATAGATATATAGTGGACAAGTTCCATCAACCTACAGCCAAATCAAAGGCCGCTCCTTTTGAAGCCATCGATCTTTCCATCTATAAACCTTCAGCTAGATGCTTTGCTTTCTCGACATCTGAAGATCGCCTGTTATTATGGATTGTAGCTTTCCAATTTCGCTATTACAAAATAAGGGGTGACGAATGGTAAAATCCGAGCCTTGCCGAGACGCCAAGACCCTAGTTTAAAAATCCGAGCCCGAGCCTTGAATTTGTTTGTAAAATCCGAGCCCGAGTCTTAGCGCTAAAAAAATCCGAGCCCGAGACGCAGTGATCCAAAAATCCGAGCCCGAGATGCACTTGATCCGAAAATACGAGATACAGCGCTCTGAGCTTTTGTGGGCATCACAACAAATATTTTTCCACTCATCCCAAAACATTGGTTTTGTATTAAAACCATTAACTTATAGCTACTTATCTAGTCTACTTAGTCTACCAGTCAGAGACATAAAATTAAACGTATTAGTAACGCATTACTGCTTATAGTCTACTTATTAACCTGGTTAGTTACTTTATAAACTAGTTAAACTAATGATTCGACATTCTGCCTGGTTTAAAATTCACACGCCTTCTGATAGCTTCTGATCTGTCGGCTTCTGGCACGCGTAAATCTGCGAACGATCGCCTTTCGACTAGCTACTACTGCAAATGGCAGAGAGTGAAGAGGAAATAGTAGAGGGTTTTGAAGCAACGAAAGGAATTAAACGCAAATACGGTAAGTTATAAGATCGTCTTGCTTAGAGCTTAAAGTGCATTACTATTTGCTACTATTAGCTACTATTACCGTCGCAGCTCGTCGATCGGACTATTAGCTTCTATTTGTAGCTTTTAACAACGTCGTCGAACGATGCGTTTTGTTCGATTCGTGTATCGCAGAGCTTGCTATTTTTGTCAGCCATGTTAGTTAAGCTTAGTTAGCTTTAGTTCATGTTGTACTTCGGACTATATCTGGCAACAAGCCACAGTAGCTCAGTTCCTGGAGCGTTATTTTACCATGCAAGCAGGCTTTCGGTGAATAACTTCACAACCTTATACCAGTCTTGCACTGTGAAAAGACTGAGATAGAAGGACAATGGACAGACGGATAGACTGTTCTATTTGTTAGCTTTTGTTGTGGAAAGGACTAAAAAAATATATTTTACGTTTTCGCTGAACACCTACTGAGTGAAAAACTCCTTGCGGTGTGTTGACATGTGACACCCTAAAGAAAGCTAAAGTAGGTCAATGAGTGTTAGCTAGTGTTAGAATTCCGTAACTTTCTCGCCGGCTCCCGTGTGATTCTTAGCTATTTAAACTTATTCAGCACCTTGCGGCTTTCACACGCGTATATCTGCATGGACCCCAAACATGGGCCATTATAAGAATGATATATTGATGAGTCATTATAGAATGATGTAGGTTTTTTCACAACCATTAATTTCTATTTGTGTTAAAAAAAATAGATGCAGAAAACAGTGATGTGAGCACTGATAGCGATTTTGAGAGGAGGGCTCACTCAAAGAAAAAAAAGAACAGTTCAATTCTCAAACGATTGTCGTTGGGTACCCATGTACTATCATGACATGATTTCCTCTATAAAGTAAGTGGAAATTACTGTTTCCTATATCTTACATAACAATTGTAAATGCAGATTCCGGCAGGGGTAAATTTCTTAATTTCTCGTTTCGGATAAGCTTGCGGATAAAAAATTGAACGTCCCATTGGCGAGATTTCGAGATCCAAATTTTCAAAATCCGAGACTCCGAGATCCAAATTTTCAAAATCCGAGACTCCGAGACCGTCATATTTCTGGGAAATCCGAGATTCCGAGACGCTTTTTTTAAGCGCCGAGATTACGAGACTCGGCTTAAATTTGCCGAGACTCAACATTTTTGAAAGGCCATTCGTCACCCCTAAAATAATCGGAAATGCAACAGATTATACTGTGATATGGGAACAGCAAGACAACCCAAGCTCAACCTCGAAGTGCGATAAAATCTATATACATCTTTCAACGAACACATCCACTGGCGAAGAAAAATTGGTAACCATTACAGTTTTTGGTGCAACTGGGAGGATCCTCGTGCAAGGGAAAAAATATCATGAATGGAGCAAATTCGAATTTCCGGTGATTCTGAAAATTGCCAACACTCTCAGCGATCTTCAACCTCTCTCTTCACTCTCTTCAGTTGGAGATGTTTCTCTTTGGAGCCTCGCTTCAAAACCTTTTTACGAATTTCATAACATTTGTCAGAGATGATGACATCCCATCATCAAATAATTCGGACGCTGAAATTCCCTCAACAACCAAATCGGAAGTTTTATCACCAACTGAAACACTAACAATCTCGCCAACCCATTTAAAGACAATCTCGTCCATGCGAGACACACTCACGCAGCTAGAGGGCGAATTTACAGAATTTCATATGACCACTTCCGGGGATCTGGAACAGCTAAAAGACAAAACCGTTAAACAAGATCACTTAATTAAACTACAAAACCAATCACCTGACGATATGCTCAATGATTTTTCTTCGCAGATTACATCACACTCCAAAAAATAGTCTCTCAACAATCAAATATCATTAAAAAATTGCAAGATGAAAACCAGATCCTCCACAAGAAACACGTACAAATTGACAAAGCAAATCAGGCCCTGCAAGAATCACAAAATTATCTGATGACAGAAATTAATTTCCTGAAAGAACAAATGACAGCGCTTTGGCAAAACTCGAAGGAACCTGACCTCCCCAGCCCTTCCTCACAACCTGAGTCTTCCTGCTCCGAAAACACCACTGACAGCGAACGCCAAAAAACGGACTGTGAGGCATCTCGACTACCCATCACAGCTCAAAAGCTTACAGTAAATATTCCCAAGGAAAACAGGTTTTCGTTGCTCGAGAATTGTGGCACATCTGACAGCTTATCCAACACACAGCAAGAAATTAACCCGGAGACAAACATATAAAACATGACTCCACCTACTCCACACGTCATTGCGCCACCTCCAATCCAGGCATCTGTAAACAATAAAGCCGTTTTTCTGTGCGATTCGAATGGAAAATTTATCGACAAAAGAAAGCTTTTTCAGCCAACACAAGATTTCACATTCTTCAGATGTCCCAAAATTGAACACGCAAGGGCTATTTTACAAGTCGAAAATGATGGATGTTTACCCGTTTCTGGGCAATCAATAGCTAGTGAAATGGTATTCCTATTAAAATACCGTAAAATGCCGAAATTTCGAGGGGCTTATCTTTTTCGGAGGGGCTTATGTACGGAGGGAAATTGGCCTTTAAAATTGATTGGGCTAGCCTTATTCTTGGAACAAAATTTACCGTTTTTCTTTGTTTTACTTTGTATTTGAGGGAGATTTCCAAGTACAATTCCCCCCCGGGTTGCTGAGTCGAGCTTTAAAAAAATAATAATAACCATTAGGAAATTTTTAAGGGGGTGGGTGGGTGGCTGGACAGGAGGGGAGGGGTTTAATGAAAAACCAAAGAAAAGGATAGGATCAATTTATGTTTCTGGGCAACCGAGCCGACGCGAGACTACCGTCCGTCAACGGCGCGTGAATTGAACGATTTACTTTTAAAACGCAGACCAATCACCAGCCTTGTTTTCCATGTAACAATCATATTCATTTGAAAAAATTTTAAGAGCCTTGTTTTTCCCGCTTGAATCTTTTGACTTCATAGGTATGCAATCAGCGATTCAATGTATCAAAGAAAATATACATTTTTTTGTCTCCTTTTTTATTTGTAATGAATTTTCCTTGATTTTATGCGAACAAACAATGAGTCTAGGGGGCTTTCACGGGTTGATGTTGCAGGAAAAAAATTATTTAGAAGTAAAATTGTTACTACGAAAGAAGGACTCGAAACGACAAACAACGATCTTACTTTTATTCCTTATTGTGAGTTTCCACGGGAAGGCTTTGCAAGAGATTGGCTACTTTTAGGCCTTTTTCAATTAATTGTGTTGCGAACTCTACAGCCTTGCAGTGCAAAAAGTTTGGCGGGAGGGTGGGGGGGAGAGATTATCTCCTGCAGGAATTTTTTTTTTTTCACTCCAATCAGGAAAAACAGCATCCTGGATTTCACAGTGGTTTAATTCTTTGGTCCACAGAGCGGATATCTGCTTTCGTAGATCGACTTATTCAGTCAATAGCGTAGAAAAAAGACTCGTATCTACAAGATACGACAGACTTCCTGAATCCTAGTCTCTATGGACGTTACTAGTCTCTACAACAACACACCACACGAAGCGGGCGTAACCACCGTATGCCACGTGTAAGAAAATGTGTAAAGAAAATGCTCTATCTTATTTTTTTATATTAACAGAAAACTCTTTCCAATTGTGTGGTAGCAACTTCCTACGGACCGATGGAACAGCCATGGGAACAAACATGGCTGTTGCTTTGGCTAACATCTTCATGGTCAGATTAGAAAACCAGCGCTGTAACAAACTGGTTTTTTGGAAAAGGTGTATTTTTCTCGATTTGAACACTTGCTGTTTTATTAAGGGTTACCACAATATGCCGCTCTGAAGAGCCCCTAGCTTATCAAAGACGCATCCGACCTGAACAGAAAAAAACTTCCAATCTTGACAAAACTGTCGACAAGGGATTGAAAACCAAACACAGACCTACGCAAGTTGAGTTAAAAAATAAATAAATAAATGAAAAATAGTGACAATTTAGTAGTCATTCTGAGTAATTTTCGTCTGCAACATTAACCCGTGAAAGCCCCCTAGACTTATTCAAGGTGAAGTTTGTTTGTTCGCAAAAAATCGAATAAAACTCATAACGAAATAAAGAGGTCGTCTATTTTTTGGTACTTAGTACTTGGGAAAAGAGAGGAAAAACACATGAAAAAAATCTTTATTTACGCACGGGCGTGCGTAAATAAAGATTTTGTTCATAGCGGCTCAATAGGACTTATATAGGGCAAGCACGCGCACTATGTTATAATTAGCAATAAATAAAGGAGGCTGAGAAGCATATGAAGAATTATTAAAAACTTAATCATTGGATAATGCAATTCTAGCGTTTTGATTGGCTTAGCAATCATGTAATATGAGCCATTATACCATGTTCTCCATATATGGTCAATGTACGCGTCAGTTGGAAGCTAGCTGTGATTTTGGTTGCTTACCATTTACATGGGCAAACCGGTCGGTCCACGGTTTAGGCAAATGGTGCGCAAAACTCAGGACTGGTAAATTTCGTCCAGGAATCGCGTTACCATTTGTACGAATCAGTTCCATTTACTGGAAAACGACCGCGAACACAAATTTCCGCTTGGAATATTCCGTCTGGAAAAACAGGACTACCTTTTCAACTGTTCCGTTGCTCCCGGAAATTTTCCGATGGAACGACCAAAGAAGTCATTTTCCTTTTTAGATAGATGGATAGATAGATAGTTTAACAGAGATGAATTAATTGCGATAAGGTTTACAAATGCAATAATTTACAACTGTACTAAATTACAACTAATTAAAGTTCTTTTCAACGATTTGAAGAAAGATGATCCAACATAATTTACGATTTTATAACCGTTATAAAATCACCAATTCAAAAGCATGCGTCAAGTTGCTATATACATTAAGAAAGAAAATTATATCTAGTTCTCGACTACTGTAAACATAACTTAAAAGAAAACCTATTCTTGCATCTTTCAGTTTTACCCTGTGAACGAATAAATTTTCTTTGTTCTCTCAGAGAGAAGCTTGGCTAGTATTTATTTGGAAGTAGTTTGTGGAGACTGTGAGATTGATTAGCACATATTTCATGGGAAAAACTTTGCCGCAATTGCTCCTCTTCGATCAATACAATACAATACAATACAGTGCAATATTCTTCATTTAACGAAGTTGACGTAATAGCCGGTTGACATACCGAGCTCGATAAACTCGTATCGAGCTCGGTTGCCCAGAAAACTAAACTGATTCCCCGGATGTTTACCGGTTTCTGGGTAATCGAGTTCGATTTTTTTCAGTCCGGGACCCGAATATCGGATGTTTATCGTTTTCTGGGATACCGGGTCCCATATTTTCCAGTCGGACCCGAATAATAACTCGGACTCGACTGCTTTATTCGGACACGAACTTAAATCGGATCCGAATTGCAGCAGTCGGGTCCGATCTATTTCAGGTGGGATCTCAAAGAAATCGGGCTCGATTTAAAGTAATCGGGTCCGAATTGTTTTGATCAGGCCCGATTGAGAATTGGACCCAACTTGTCGGCGGGAATAGAATTTGTGCCCGAATTGTTTCACATCGGGCCCGACTTCCCATTTGGGGGGATATTCACTCAGTATTTACGCATGCTTTGTGGCTCAATTTTCCTAGGAAAAAAATGTACTGGGAAAAAAGATCGTTGTACCATGTTTGGATGTAATAATGATCGCTTTTTTCAACTTCAACTCCAACTTTATTCATTCACTTTCAATTTACAATTACACAATAGCTTCCACCCGCGTATAGGAGAGCCTAATCAACGGGGGAATAGACACACAAATTTAAAGAAAGAAAAGAAAAAAAGAACTATTTTACAAACAGTAGCAGGTGTCGCAAAATAAAAGCTATAGTATGTATTAAGCTAATTCCAGAGAATTATACAGTGAAGTTTTCGGATGTCTATCGTTTTCTGGGATACCGGGTCCCATATTTTCCAGTCGGACCCGAATAATAACTCGGACTCGACTGCTTAAATCTAATTATGAGTTTCAACAACTCTCTTTTTCCCACCCTTTATTGACTGTATTTACCTCGTCCCGCGCTTGAGAGGTTGCTTTAAAAGAAATATTGCTATATGGAAAAGAGGAAGGTAAAAAATAGATTTATTATAGTCTTTATGTACTCATCAGCTTAAGTTTACTCAACAATAATTGAACTAATAATCTAAGTTAAGCTTAACTATTGAACTGCAACCACAAGATATGACTATAGACAATTATAATAAAAGATTTGCTAGTAAACTGATTTATTTAGATGAATAGCTGTATCGACCAGTATCCACCAATTTTGTTATGTCTTTTAATTTAAATTTTCTGCTCCAAATATCAGGCAATTACTGTTCCACTTGGTCTCAAGTGTCTACCGACATCATAATATAGAAATTTAAGTTTAAGAAAGAAGTAGAAATGCTATCCTAACTACGTAGTTTGGTCTTGCTCTTTTGGACATTGTTCACATATGTACATTACAGTGCAACACCTTTAATGCAGTCTCCAGTGTGCCCCCCCCCCCCGAAAAAAAATGCCATCAATTTCCGGAGCAGGGTCAGGTACCGCAAATCTAGCCAATTAGGTTATAGGGCGGTGTCAGGGTTAAGAAGGTATATCGAGGTATTTTCCCAGTAATTCTTCCTTCTCTCCCTCGTCATCAACTCGGTCAGATCTCGAGCAAAATCTTTCCCTCCTCCTCCCCTTTCACCTGCCTGCTGGTTATTATTGTTCACGGTATTTCCTATTTCTTCTTTTTTCCTTTTCTTAAATATTTAGTTTTGTAGTTTGTGGCGGATTTTTGTTGCCCTATTTTTTATTTAGTAGGTTAATCGGTTTACATATATTGATGTGTTGTGATTCTGTTAGCTTTGATTTCATTAAACCTGCCACAACTGTGGCCAGATTTATCCGACACAGTTGTTTGTTTATATTTTAATTATGTTCCTTATCGGAAAGTACGTAACCGGAAATGCAAGCAGAGCTCGCGCAGAGTTGGGCCTTGTTTTGAACACATGGCTTGATATAAAATAAATTTTATAACTTTTGAAACATTGAATGGCTCCGGCCGTTATCTTGAAGATATTTTAAAATTTTACCATCAGTCAAGAACATTATAGTCATCAAGGGATCATTTACGCCTTGAAGAACCAAATTTTAACATGAAAACTTATGGCCAGCGAGGGTTTTACGTTGCTGCCACCCGCCTATGGAACAAGCTCCCCTTTGAAATTCGAGCTTGTTCTGATGTTAAACTTCTTAAATCTAAGTTGAAAACGTTTCTTTTTAAAAAGGTATATGTCATTTAGTTTCATCATATTTGTTTTTGTTTTCTTTCCTTTTTAAGATGTGTATGCTATAAATGTTCCAATATGTACAGTAGGGTTATATGTAGGCTTGTGATTAATGACATTCTTATGTCCTTTTTTACATCGTAAAGCGCTTAGAACAGCAATGTATAAGCGCTATATAAATTCCATTATTATTATTATAATTAAACTTACATTTTTTGCTAGAGTCTCAGAATCTTTATCAATGCAGTTTGTAAACATAATCTTAATAAACAGAAAGGTAGAGTCCGAAAATAATGTGATTTTCATTTTCTTTAATGTCAATGAACAACTATTTTTAAAAAGCTAAAGCGATGTTTGAAGAATGACTTTTCAGCTGCACTGTAGCCGTGATTTCGTGAGCAATCACAACGTGAGCAATCACAACGGTTCAGTGTCACCAAGGTGTATTTATATTTAGCGCCTGTGGTCTGACCTGTGACCTGACCTGTGGCCTGTGACCTGTAATCTGACCTGTGACCTGTGACCTGCACTTTAGCCCCGCCGTTTTCAGTACCGACAGTATTTTGAAGAAGAAAAAAATCAAACGCGCTAGTATTCTGGTACTCACTTTTTATCGAAAAATACGGGCTGAATAATGGTAATTCGCTAAGGATGACGGAACAGGAAGATATTTCGTCTTGTTACTTTACTATCGAGGAAACTTGGAGCCGTTAATACAATTAAGTTACTTTGCTCACGCGTCACTATATTTACCGGACTTCGATACTTTCGTTTGGAGGCTGCCTTCAGGAACCCAAGCCAATTCTCAGGTATGTTTTAGATAAATGTCTAAATGTGTGAATAAACGAGGAGTGAGAAAATTTGGAGCTATAGTTGTTTTCTGCGGCATTATTCTTCATGTTGTACTAAATTAAAGCTTTTGCCACCGTAAAAACCTGTTCTTCGTTTTTGAATTATGTCAGTTCAGCGAGTCTCGATATTGCTTTGGAAGTATCTTCTAGTGAAAGAAGAAGAGTTGTTTTATTGATGGAAAGTGTCCAAATTTCTCCTTGCGGCTTTATTTGCGAACGCAAGGAGAGTTGATGTTAGCAAATTTCGGGTTGAAAACACGGCCATTTTGAGACTCCGACCACGAAAACTGATATTCGTACTCTTCTCGAAAATAAAGCCTTTTTGCGAGAACAACTTACATCAGATTACTTATCTACCTAAAGGCTATTTATGGACAAAAAAATGGAGGAAATCGATTTTTCAACTCTTGTCACTCAATGGTCGATATTTTCTGACCGTCGCTTTTAAGCCATGAAACAATAGTCCACTTTTAAAGAGCTCTAAAAAATTTTCATAGAAACGAACAAAAAGTCGTATTTGATATGTTTCACATAAACTATTCATCTCCAACATTTCTCTTTCCTGACTTTAAAGAGTAAGCAACCACCTTAAGAAACGCAAGAAACCTGCCCTTCTTCGAAATAACAAGCTTCAAAATAGGCTCCGAAGCTGGTCACAAACATCGCTGCTTTAGAGAACGTGTTTAAGTCCGATCTTTTCGCTAGCGTCGCCAAGACATGGCTGAATGCTGACAGATACCGTTTAACGATGTTGAAAAATTCTCAGAGCGAGGACAGCGGCTTGGCAGCGTTCGCAGTGACGTGTTAGATTCTGATTAGTCCTCCGCCATTTTGAAAATCGAAAGGCGGGAATACAAGAAACAGTGGCGAGAGCTATAGTGCGTATGTCTTGTGGTTTTTGCTCTCTGTCAATTCCATTAAATGATTGGAATCCAGAATCTAAGTTCCTGTGAAAAATACTGGAATCCAGTACCTGGAATCCAAAATCCACAGCGTGGAATCCAGGATCCAAGACCGTCTGTCCTGTCTATACGATGACAATGAACCTTTTGGACATTCCCATCCCATTCATACAAATTTCCACTTCGACTGAATGGCAATTTAATGTTTATGAGTTTCTTGAGCGATGAATTCACGCCTTAATAGCAGAACTTAGTGACTGATTCTGTCGGTTTCCGGTCGTCATGTTTGTGCACATCTGGCGCGGATGAACAACACTAACATGACGTCTCCACACAAATTTCCATAAATTTGGGTGCATCGTTTCCCCGAATGTCTCGCGTATGAAAAATTGCGCTGGCGTGAATCTCAGCTTGGATATTCACACATTTACCTTCTTTCATATTCATGATTCTGGACTTTATCTTATGAACGGTTTTAATTTTTAATAGCGTGACCAAAACTAGCAATTTCTTTTAAATCAAATTCGGTCACACTAGCTGTGCAGGTTCCCTGAGCTTTTGTCCCTTTCAGTTTCTAGGAACTGGGGAAAGCCCCTTTAGCTTCCGGTAACTATCATTGTCGATTACTCACGATTGTACGCATAGCTTTAACCTTCGGAAAGTGAATATACAAACATTTTTTAACATATAAGCTTAGCGGTGGCATTTTGGCTTCAGTGCAGTCCATTATAGACCATTGAAAGAAGAAGTGATTTGACCTTCCAGTTTATTTGAGGTAAAGGTATTAATTTTTTTAAAACAGTACACAAACGATGTCAAACATTGCAAGGTTAATATTGCAAGTATACTCATACTGAAAGCGTTTGACAATTAAATAGATTATTTAAGTTATACCGTTTCCAAGCGAACCAGTACGGAGTCTGTAGCATATACAAGGTAGGTATGTGTATAACATTAGAAAACGCAATCAATTAAGAAGAAGTACAGAAACATTAAGAAGAATGACGGTTATGGCTACTTTACCAGCAAATCGGAAAAAAAAACAATGCGAATATTTAATTCCCTGTTCATTTCTAACAAATAATATATATTTAAAGATCTTCTCTATCAAGGTTAACCCGAATAAAAGGCGACTGAGCTTGACGTTTTTGAATTAAAACTCTCATGCAGGCCACTATAAACAATATATTAGGTTGAATGTATTACATGTGCCTGTTCTGACGTATCCGGCAGCGGTCTTAGCTCTAACCATAAGAAATTAGCATTTAAAAATGGAAAACGATACAATTTTCAGTTTCGGTTTCTAGATTAAACTGAAGGGGGAAACCCCTTCTGCTATACAATTCAGGTTGCCCAGTGATCCCTGCACTGCGTTTTCCCAGTCCCTCTTGGTAATCGGTGACGTATCCGAGGGAGTTAGAAAAGCAATATTTGTTGCTCTATAAACTGTTGGGGGATCCGAAGAATTTCGACGCCAGTGAAAAGCCTGGAGACCCTGTTGACCCGGTTATACAGCATGAAACTCAACTCTTCGTCTTGCTTCCTTTAATCCAGCCTGACGAGGACAGTTGCATAATTTGAAGTCAACAACATGGCAATACCTCTCTGTTTGCCCAACAACTGTCAATGGAATCCGGTTACAGGTGAATACACCAAGAAAAAGGAACGACGTTCGTCGCTCTATGTCGTGGATAAAGCTCTTCAGAAACTGAGGACTGTGAAAGGTAAACGTTATTCATTCCACCCTTGGTGAATGGCCCACTGTTTTCGGACGTTTATATGTGTTGGCTTGATTAACCGCGGCAGGATTAGCTCAGTCGGTAGAGTGTTTGACTGCAAAGCGGGAGATCGCAGGTTTAATACCCGGGGCCGGACCAGTACGCAGGGTCTTAGAGTAACTGAGAAATGAAGATACTGCGTTTGCGCTGCCAACAGCTAGACCTTGGCGTTTCTCGGATGGCCACTTAAAGTAAAAATAGTGTCGCACTCAAAGAAAGTGCATTTTTTCTAAAGCCTCAGCGTAAGAACGGCCAAAGAAAAATACCGGGAAGGGAATGCCGTTTAATAGTAGGGGTTGATATTTATTCTCATAATTGACCTAGGTAAATAAAAGTATGACCATTAAGTATGACGAATTCGCTAGACAAAAAAAAAAAAGGAAGAAGAAAACAACCACAACAACAACCTATAAAAGGTGAAGTAATTAACAGAACTTCCTATACTGAACGTTATACACCTATTTCAATTAAGGTTGCTTCAGAGGAGACTGATGCGTAATCCATGTTTCATAGCCCGCGGTGCAGTATTGTAGCAAGTCTAGTAAATTATGTGCCCGCAACGAACCTAGAAACCTAGAGAGCAAACGCTGCTGACGCTTCTATGCTATATCAGCAGAAAGATAAGACAATGTATTTCAAAACACTGAATCCTAGGCTTTTAAATTTAAGACAGTGATTTGAGGTTAGCTTTCTCTCTGTGGTAGTATGCAAAAACTGAAAATTTTCAGCGAGTTTGCTTAGCTCGTGCAAGTGGGAATTTTGGATGGAGTTTAATTCAAGGTATTTTTTGAACAACAATAAATAACTTAACATTAGGTGTTTATCTATTTTTGAGGCAACTTTTTTTTAAACTGAATAAAAAAAAAAGAATAGCGTTGATTTGCTTTAATGAAATAACCAGCATTCTGGCCCATGCAAAAACGCAGCTTAATCAGGCGGTAAACTCCCCATTCATTAATGAGGGGGGCATTGGGATTTTCGGTTTTGCGGTTTTGGCTATTTTTTAGATCGGTTTTTCGGTTTTTGTTGTAAAAGACTTCGGTTTTTCGGTTTTGGTGGTCATTGCGGTTTGCGGATTTTTCGTTTTTTAGCATCTGGTTTTCGGTTTTCGTGAAAAATACTAGCGGTTTTTCGGTTTTGGTACCCGATGTGGTTTTTGGTTTTCGGAAGGGCAGTGAGGTTCAATAATCGACTGCTTTTTTGAGTATCTGTTTATTACCACATTAAACCTTAGAGCAAGTTCCTGCTACCATGTAAAACTGAAAAGGAACTAATTGTATCGGTTAGCTTCCTCAGTGTCGACTCAGCTCAGTGCAATCGCATGTTAGACAATCAAGTCTCCAAACTTGCAGGTGTTAGTTATCTGCAAATGGAAATGTGCGATTAGAGATTTTCGATTGAAGTTTCCAGAGCTATAGCTTTTTGCGACTGCAAAATTGCAATTCTAAAGAGGACTTGTGTACAAATTCTCCTAAGTTAACTAGGCTCCATAACTAGCCGCTTTTCGGAAATTGAGCCGCAAAGTCTGGGCTCGAGAGAGCGGCAGAAACAAAGCCTATGATTTAAGCAGACACAAAAAGATACGAAGGCTTCAGACAAAGTCCATGACATTCACAAATACTTTGGTGAAATTAGTGTTAGTTTAGTTTGCTCTATATGCCCCACTTGTCACCATTGTATCCGTTTTTGACGGTTTTGTATGCGGTTTTCGGTTTTGGCCGAATTTTTTTGCGGTTTTGCGGTTTTGGATGATTTTTTCCTTCGGTTTTGCGGTTTCTAATATACCCCAATGCCCCCCTTATTAATGCTGTTAAAAGAAGAGGCTTCTAATTTTTTACTATGAGATTTTAAAAATGAAATTTTTCAGCTCGCTCATGCTTAAGAATTTTGTCAGTCATTTGTCTTGAAAGCTCTCTTGAATGCCCTTTCCCAATTGGTCTCCATTATTTCAATGAATAACGTGAACAAGATTAAACTTCCCGCTCCAAAAGGGTTTACCGGTTACCACAGTGCACTGCAGGTTATGAAACATGTTACACCGGAACAACCTTAATTGAAATAGGTGTATATCAGGAGGCTTAGTGAGTCATCAGCCAGAAGTTCTCCTCAGGAGGACCTTATTTTACAGGTAAGTATAATATGTGAGGGCTAACTAATAGACAATGTTAAAACATTTTATTTAAGAAAACCAGCCATGAAATCAGGCTATATTCTGTATGCATATCATGCTGCATATCTGATTACTTTATATTACCTATGAAAGACGGGACACTCGAGCTCTTTTCCTGAGCAACCAAGGACTGGTGGGATTAGTGAGGCGTAGCATTTTTAGCTATCAAAACAAGATTAAAAATACACTAGTTCTTTTATACGAGTCACTGTATTCTTTTTTTCTTGTATGTTATTTTAAAATCATCCATTCATTTAGTCTGAGAAAACAGCCAACATTTCACGACGCCACCACTGGTTTCCCCACCAACTCATCGACCCGTGAAATTCCACGGATGACTCGTCATTACGCAGATCTTGGTAATGCTTCTGATTGGTTGAAGCAAATTTTCACGTCAATTCGCTGGGAAACCAGTGGTAGCTTCGCGAAATGTTAGCTTTTTTCTTATTTAATATGTTTTCAATTAACCACTCTTGTACGTTTACGTTTGTTTTTTATATTTTTTATAGGACCCATTTGTGTAGTGTCGATCGCTGGTGCGTACCGCAAAGGGAAATCATATGTACTAAGCGAAGCTTTTGATCAACCAGAAGTTTTTCCTCTTGGACACCACATGGATCCAGAAACCATGGGAATTTGGATGCATATTATTCCAAAAACGTTCCGTGTAAGCTCCAGCACCTCAAGTATACAATGCTAGCTGCTTTAACTGTAGATAATTATAGCGCGGGCAGCGGATCCTCATAGCTAGAGAAATTGGGAAGGAATCATCCGAGAAAATATGGTTATCACGTTAGCGTGCAGCTAAGAGACCGTCCGTGCAGACGGTGAGGGTAGGGGTACAAAAACTCAGTAGGGTACGGGAGGGAATCTCAGACGTGCACCTTGCGTTTTGTTTTGGCCACACTTCCACAGAGTAAAATGTGAATGTTTTTCTATCATAAATTTCGGGGCGATAGTGAAACTGACAAACAACAAACAGGCTCCCATTACTCCGCCAGTGTTGCTCTCTTTAACTTAGACCTCATTTAACATTCTTCGCTCAGTTTAAGAGTCTTAGATCAAGTGGTATGGTTACAAAATCAATACAATGCAAACCAATTATAGCCAAGTTATAATGCAGGGCATATTCATTCTCAAATGAGAAATCGAAGTGACTTATGACTTAATTAATTCCATACATTTCTGTCATTTATGTCAGTCTACTATCTTGTCTCGAAAATTTGAGACATCATTTTTCGAATCCCTTTTCTGATTGTTGCTGAACATTTTGGCCTTCGTTGATTAAACTCTTTCTTTCATCGAACGCTGCTGTGAGCTACTTAAGTTCTTACTTAAAGACAGGCAAAGTTCAATCGGAGGATTTGTCTTTTTGGTTATTATTTAGGATTCAAGAGGCCGTGAATTCACGGTCGTGTTATTGGACTCCGAGGGAATTGATGCTGTTAGTGGAGAAGGATTAGACGACAATCAAATATTTACACTTACAGTTTTACTGGCTTCTGTGCTGATTTATAACTCCTCAGGGGTCCCGACAAGGCACGATCTTGAAGGTTTGGAGTATCCTTTAAAGGCTTAGGTCCGCAGTAAAGGTTTAGTTGCTTGCGTCTTAAATTTAACTATCCGGACCGCCGCATCGGAAGTGTTGGAGCCAGGAAAATGTAACAGAGAGATATTGAAGATGGTTCGCAATGTTTTTTTCCTTATTTATCTTGGAAATGGTTTGATGATCAATGATTTATTTATCAGCACAATGATTGAATTGTGAAAAAGATTGTCCAATCGCTGTCCATCACAGTTGTCGGAACTCATGCGTAAAAAGGCGAGTTGTGAGGCCTTGGTAACAGGTGACTCAGTTTCATCTAATTTTTTGACCAGATTGCTATAAGCCACTTTGTACTCGATGTTTTTTTTTTTGACTGTTTGCGAAAAAGAAAATCTTGAAAGTATTTTATTTAAATATTTAGATACAAAAAATAAAAGACGTTCGAACTTGTGGTTATAAAAGACGTTAAGCTAGGGTGTTAATAAAGGGGTGGGCTACCGACGCTATAGCAAACTTTTTTTACGTTAAAAAGTGGTATAACTTTATGTTGAACAGTTTTTGGCATTTGTTTGATGTGGCAGTACTCAGAAGATTTACCAGTTGAAGTAAATTGCTGAAATGGGCTAAAAACGTAGCTAGCCACCTTGAACTAGAGAGCTGGTAATAATTGCAAACACAGTCTAAACCTTCACCGATGACACGAATTTCACTCAGCTCAATTAGTTGTCCAGTTACAAACTTTGCGGTATGAACTTTCAGAAGTTGGTTGAATATGATCGTCCGGGTGAACGTAGTCCTGAATGGGACTGTTGCTGTTGACAGTGACTGAAACTGGTGCGATAGTCATCTTCAGAGTAAAAAAATATATATATTAATGAAAAAAGAGAGAAAAAAAAAAAAAAAAGGAAGAAGAAGAGTGAACTTTTGAAGTATGGCCTTTGTTGTGAGAATTGTGCATTGTATATTATTCCGTAACTTAGTATTTAGTTTCATTGTGAAGCTGTCCAAGCGGATTAAACTTCGCTCCAACAGCGAAGGGTCGAGCTTGAGCAGTCGTTGTGAAGACACGGAATATTTCCATAAAACTTTCCCATTCTTTATATGGCTTCTTAGAGACGTAACCCAGTCCATTCCACCTGACTGCACGGATCTTAAAGATTACTTCTTGACAAGGGTGAGCTCGTTTACAAGCGTAATTTTAGGAATTGGTCTATAACGACAAGTCACCGTTAATATTATTATTATTATTATTATTATTATTATTATCATTATCAAATATCAGTATTAGTTTCAGTATTACTATTATTATTATTATTATTATTACTGTGTTTTCATAATAATCATAACTATAACAAAATTCTCAAATCTTGTTGGCTATCAACTGCCCTAATTATTTAATTTGTTTTAAAGACCGTATTCGTATTTATTATATGGAGAAGAGTGTTTTACTGGGAACTAAACCACTCATAGATTCCATACGCCACCTCATCCGGGACCCGAGTGGCGTATTTTCCGTATGTCACCTTTGTGAGTGTCGTATCGTTCAATGACGTCACGATTCCCGCCTTTTGCTTTTGTTGAATTGGTTTCTCCCGTCGTGTTTGTTGTTTAGAATAAAAACATGGCGTGCAGGTTTGCGTCCATCAGCGACGAAGAAGTTAAAGAGTTTACAGAAAAACTTGTAATTGAAAATGAGAACACGAAGAAGCAAACCTTGTACGACATAAAAGTTTTCAAAGAATATCTTGACGCCTGTGACGAGAAAAGGGAAATTGAAGATATTACGCCCGTGGAACTGCAAGAAATCATCAAAAAATTTGTTCTTGCTGTGCGAAAGAAAAATGGTGAAGAATACGAACCCTCGTCCCTCAGAGCGTTTATCCAAAGCATCGACCGGCATCTTCGCGAAAACAACTGTGGAGTCTCCGTGCTTAACGACAAGGAATTTCACGAAGTGCAAGATATTTTAAAGAAGAAACAAAAGCAGCTGAAATCCATCGGGAAAGGAAACCGGCCTAATGCAGCAGACCCGCTGTCAGATGAAGACATTGACACTTTTTACAGCCGCAAAGTCTTAGGAATTCACACTCCTAAAGCTCTATTAAATATACCCTCCGGATGAACAACTGTACCTTCTTCGGTATGAGGCCAGGAAAAGAGCAGAGAGACCTTTGCTGGGGCGATTTGCAATTAAAAACAGATTCGGAGGGAAACTGCTTCATCGAGTTTAACATTGAAAGACAAACGAAAACGCGTACCGGCGAAGACCCTCGAAATATTAGAGAGAAGAAACCTAAAATGTACGAAGACAAGAGTAACGCATATCGCTGCCCCGTCAACACCTACTTGCAATTGGCTTACAAAGAGCACCGGCCCACAAGCATGATGACCGATGAATCTTCTTTCTATCTTGCGGTTAATAACGAAAACTCGAAACCTGGTCAAATGTGGTTCAAATGCTCTCCGCTTGGAGTCAACTCCTTGTGAAGCATGCTCAAGAACATGATTCGGGCCTAGAAACAGATGAAAAACTTGTAAATCACAACACAAGAAAGCATTTGGTTCAGAAGCTGGTTGAAAATGACACACCGCCAGGCGAAATCATTCAGATCACACGACATAAAAACGTTAACTCTAAACAACTACTCATCTTTATCCGACAAGAAACAGCAGCAGATTTCCGCTGTGTTGTCTAATGCTGCCAGTACCAGCCAAAGCTTGTCAGCCGTATCTATTGAAGAGAATACTGAAGCGGAAAGCTTTTTATCGGGTGCAACTTCGGGAAGTTTATTTCAAAATTGCCAAATCGCAACGGTAAATGTCCAAGTTTATCAGTCCGGTCGAACTGAAAAGTCTTCAAAGATTCGTTGTGAAAAGAAACTGAAAATCACTGTATCTGATGATTCAAGTCAAAGTCAGTATTTTTTTCAGTATTTACGTGTAATATTAGCTCACAGAATTTTGCTTGATTGGGTTTAGTGTCTCTATATACTTGGCACCAAGTACTTTTGTATTTTCTGTTTGCAATAAAGCCCAGGCTTATTTGTAAAACTTGACTACTTTAAAACACAATAAAATCGGAAATATTTAATATTCAGTCTCCATATAATAAAAAGAACATTACACGTTGGCGAGAAGATATGAATTTTATGTTCTCGTGGCAAGAACATTATCTCACTCGTTCGCTTCGCTCACTCGTGAGATATTGTTCTTGCCACTCGAACATAAAATTCAGATCTTCTCGCCACCGTGTAATATCCTCTATTTATTTTACTAATAGTATTTTTGTTTATTTGATCGTAACTCTCTGTTCGATCTTCATCCCAACTTGTTAGGTTTTCAAAGAACAAGACTTCTCTCGGTCAGATCCTGCCCAGCAAGTAGCCGAAAGCATTTTGCGTTTCTTTCCTGGTTTTCAAGCCTTTAAACTTCCCCCACCAACAGTTGACGACGAAGTACTGCAAAATATCAACAGGAACAAAGATCGGTTGAATCCTAAGTTTTTAGAAGGAATTGACCAATTCAAACGATTGCTATGGTCCACTCTGGTCCCTAAGCAAGGCCCAAACGATGGAGAAGTGGTGACTGGTGTAGGTATGATTTTAAACTGGTTTCAGTTATAAAAACATTATCCAGGAAAATTACAGGACACAATTTTCAGTAATATGGTATCTTAACTTAAAGGGGCTATATCGCTAGGATACTGCTGTTTTTAAGTCAAATCTGTGCTGAAGCCATTTGATGGTTGATGGCGCCTTTACCCATACAAATATGTGCTCCTGTAGAGGGAACACTAACACTGATTTTTGCAGGCATATCATTAAAACTTGAAAAGCTGACCCGACTTTTTCAAGTTTTAATCCATGTCCATTCCTACCATCCTTTACAACAGACGACAGGAAACAGTTTCAGTGCCTGAATATCAGGGGTCTTGAGTAACAAAACTGTACCATTATTTTTGGAAGTTTAATTGATGCGGGGACAAATTTGTTTGTTTGTTTTTGTTGTTGTTGTTTTACGATAGAGAGTAGCGTAACATAGCCCCTGTAAGTCGGTTTGCAATTATTTTTAAAATTCCTAATTTTCTTTTTTCAGGTCTTGCAGCTCTAGTGCAGCTCTACGTGGAAGCTATAAATACCCCTGGTGTAGTTCCAAGCGTACAATCAGCTTGGGATACTTTTGTAGGGGTAAAGTGCACAGAAGCATCGCAGGCGGCATTGACCATTTACGATTCTCTGATGAAGTCAGGGCTGTCAGGCCGCCTGCCATGTGACAATGACGTCATTCGACAAAATCATGACGCAGCTTTTGAGAAGGGAGTCGCTCATTTGGAGGATGAGACATCTGGACTATCAGCTGTTACAACTGAGAAGGTCATGAGAGAAGTTACGGTAAGCTTAGTGAACATCTACAACAATGTATCCCCTTGGCTTCTTCTTAAATGGAGAGAAATTCTTTGATACTTTACGAAACTTTTTTTTAAGTGGCGTCATAAGCAACGACTTCTGAACTTGGAAAAGCATGTTTTCTTTCTTTTTTTTCTTTTTCATCTTTTTATTAGATGTGTATGTGTGAAAGGAGACGACTAGAAAGGTCTAAAGACATCCCTCTCCCAAATATATTTCATTAAACTTTGTCGTTGTATCACTTAACCCTATTCAGACCGGGGGGTGGGCCTTTTGATGAACCCGGCCCCCTCGCTTAAAAGTTGAATACCCTCAAAACTGTTCAAGCTAATTGGCATTATTTTATCAAAGTTACTGTCACTGTTGATGAAATCCAGGCTTTTTAGTGACTAGTTTGAGAAGAAAACATAAGTCAATGTGACCAAATGGCAGATGCTGAGTTTAATTTTCAACAGTGTTCATTTCCTTCGAAATTGCGTATTTTGCAGGTTTTTTTGCTTCCTAAGCATCCTTTTATACTCAGATTAAGTTTTCTATTAAAAATTCCTCGATTTTTACCGGTTTTAAGTAAAATGGAGTACATTAAAATAATTCAAAAAGGTGGATCCAAGATGGCAGATGCTTCCAGTTCCCTTTTAGTAATAAATAACGTCATTGTGACATCACTGCTATTGTTTAAGGTTATTTATATGTTGACAACTTCTAGCCTGCAAACGGCAGACGTTTCTCCTCGCTCATCGCCGCTGGGGGACGTTTCGCGAGGAGGAACGTCTGCGACTCAGCGACAGAAATTCCATACTGATGACGTAAATGAATGTTTACATAACAAATCCAGCAGTCATGGGGTTCCAAATGCAAATTTGTTCAATTTTACGTTTCTCCTTGTCGATTTTGGTAAAGCGTTGTGTTGATCTGCGAATGAACTCCAGCAAAACTCGAATGCTTCTTCCAGAGAAGACTATATTCCACAAATATTGACTGTTTCATTAGAGATTTATCGCGTTTTCATTTGACCTTTGCGGCCTTTTGTCTTTTGTCTGTTATTCGTAAACAATAGCTAAAACAATGAGACTTCTCCGTGGACCAATTAGCGCTTCTGACCGGATGCCGGACAGATTTTGCGTGACTTTATCAAACACCTTACTATCTAGATATTTTTCGGTTAACGTGTACTTTGAGGGAAATTTGGATTCTGCCAATAAATTCGACAATCTGTGAAAGTTTGGTGGCCGTAGCGTGAGCAGTCTTGTAGATATAGAGGAGATCTTATAGAGCCTCCCCCCCCCCCTGGTCGCAGGAATAGGGTTAATATTATACTTTGTATATTTTCTTGCTTCCCGTCCTGTAATGACAGGATGACTTTTTTCCGTTTGCTTGATTTCCAGGCAGCATTTGACAAACGGTTGGCCTCATGGAAGAATGAAAATGACAAATTAACACGAGATGCCTGCACCAGTCTTCTCAAGCTACTCAAAAAAGAACACTTGGGTCCAGTACTCGAAAAGCTACATGGAGGGGAGGGTGCACAAGTCTCATTTGAGGACATTATTCAAGGGTACAACCGACTTGAACAGGACTTCAAAGTGAAAGCCATTGGGGCTAAAGATGTTTCTGCTGCCGTTTTCTTTGAATTTCATCCGGTAAAAAGCTGTAAAGTTCTTACTTCTAAGAGAAAGAGAGGAAAGTTTTAAAATCGAACTCGAAATGGGCAGCTAAAAACGGGGAATGGGCAACCCACCGTTTCAGAGAAATAAAGACAGTTTAACCTATAATGAATGTTTGGGCAGGCAAAAAGTATTTCAAGTATATTCGAGCCTTTTTTATGCCCAAAGAATAATACAGACAAGTAGAGTGCATAAAAAGGCGAATTTTCTTCACGGCTATGGTGAACTAAGCACTAAATGACCTTCCCCCAGATTTGAAAACTGCTTGAGGTGTTGGCATATTGGTGAATAGTTTAACTCTTAAAAGGAAAAAAAACTTTGACACTGGCGTAAACTGGTGACCAATCAATAGAGTGACCAGTTAATAAGAATTGGCATTATATGTATTGCACCACTTTTCTTTAAAATTTATATCAGGTTCTAATGGAGGAAATGCAGCGATATTTGGGGGTACTACGACAGCTCAAAGATTTCGACGAAAACTTGACTCGAGAAATCGCTGCAAGAGCCTACCAAGAACAGGAAAGAGTGAAGCTTGAGGTACATGTAGTGGAAAAACTGTGACGTCACAAAAATCCACATTTATGAAAGTCTGGGATTGGTTAGCATATTTAGAAATAACCAAAATAGCCCAGTTGCCAAAATTCAGCCTAAATTGGTGGGGAAATATAGGCACCGTTTACTCTATACAAATGCTTCCAAATTGGTTTGCTAATTTAGAACGATTTATATGGAGTCATCGGAGCATAACGGTGCTTATATGTCCCCATCAATTTACATTAACAGGCTGGTTTTTTAGCAGATGGGCATTTTTCATGATTTTTTTCCTGTATATGCATGCTGACCAACTCCATAATTTGACAAGTTTAAGTGTTTTAAAGTTTACTTCTCTTCTCTTCTGCAATTCATTGATCATTTATCATACTTCAGATTTGACATTTGGGGTATTTAAACATAAGGTTTACGATAAGCGACCATAAGAGACTGTTCATTTATTTGAGGGAGGGGGGGGGGGGGGTGGGCTGGTACATTTTAATTTTCCTATTCATAATTTCCCGTGGGCATGTTCTTGCCACTGCATAACATAATGTAGCCCCCCTTCGAGTCTGCACATGAAATAAGATGACCCAACCTCAACGAAAGAAACAGTTTTAATACAACTTAAATAAAACTCACCGAACTATTTAAAGCAAATAGCGAGTATCCCTCCTCCCAGATCTAGTAGTTGTCACTGTGATCTGAGTATCATCCCCTTCCTCATCATCATCCTCTGAAATCGAGCCAATCTCGGCAAGGACATAGTCTGTTTGAACGCTTTAATCATCAGAAGATAAGTATTCCTCTTCATTTTCACTACTGCAGAGTGGACTTCCCTCTTCTTGTGTAAAACTCTGTATCTGTTGTTGAATAATGTGCCTTTGCACCTCCATTAGCTTTGCATGCTTGTTTGATGCAGTGCGAAGCCCGTGATGCTTCAAGTATTTAACGATAGCTGCTATAAGTGTCTGCTTACTAAGGGAGCCATCTTTAAACATCGCATTCCAATCATACTCTTGGTATGTCTTGCTTGCCTCAGCTGACTTTTTAGTTAAAGTACAAAAGGAAGTTGAGAAGGAAGAGCAAGATATTAAAGATCACCTGAACAGCCTCTATTTTAAGTATGGCCTAAGTAAGGGGAGCCAAAGAGATTTTGACGAGGAAAGGATCACAGTGCTGACAATGCTCAGGAAAAAAAAGAACTATCCAAAACATTCAACATCTACATAATGCAAGGAACAAATGTCAGGATATGTTTCGTGGACACACTCTGAAGTTTAAATCAAAAAAGGGTTAAAAAAAAAGAAAATAAAGGAGAGCAACAGAAAGAGAAAAGCTAGACGAGAAGAAGAGAATTTTGGTTTAATCTCCAAACTACTGTCTGATGGTGAGATTCCAGTTAAGGCAGTCAATGTGGCTGCTCTGATATCCTTGAAAGGGCCTTTAGTTTATTGGCTAAAGCAAATGATGGAAAGAGGGCTTAGAAATGATCAAGCTTCTACACTAATTAAAGAGTACTTGCCCTCTTTCAGCTCCTGTCTTCAAACAGTGAATCAGAGGACAGTGAATACTGAGTAATACATGAAGTTTAATTTTCCAAAGTGAAAGGACTTCTATACACCATGTTATGTTGGTTTGTTATGCCATCAGTTTGATAAAAAATAATATTTGACTTGTTCTTTTCGAACGGAAATTGGAATGCACAAAAATACATGGCCCGTCAGAAATGGTTGCACAATTTTATGCAGCCTCGCCCCCCCCCCCCCCCACCCATTTTTAGGTGCACAAAAACGTATGACCCCCACCACATTTGCACCAGCCCACTCCACATGACCGGTCCCTAAGCTAATTTATCGTTTGTCTCATGATAATCTCTTTGTTATTGATCGAGACCGTGACGTTTTGTCCGCGTACTGATGCAGGCGATGGTATCAATTTACTGATCACGACTGTTAGTAATGTCATGTTGACTGTGATTCTTGAATTACGACCTTCAATTATCGTTGGTAGGTTTCGATCCTATCATTAACGAGCCGCCAATACGCAAATCACTATAGATAATTTCGATTAATCTCAACATGAGTTTTAGCTGTATCCTCTTTTCATAGGAGGAACACGCCCGTTTGCAGCAAGAAAATCGTGAACGACAAGTGGAGGCAAGTAATGGCAGTTCATATTTGGTTATAGCTTTAAATACCCAAAGCCGAAGGTTAAAGCACCGTGCAAACGGACGCAACATCGTTGGCCAACAACTCCCAACTTTGTTGTATGTTACACGTTGCGTCCGTTTGTACACCCTGTTGCATGTTGTTGGATGCTGTTGCGTGTTGTTTGAAACCGGTCAAGCTTTTAGCTACGTACAGTGTACAAACGGACTCAACCACCTCCAACAATGTTGGGAGTCGTTGGCCAACAGTGTTGCATCCGTTTGCAACGTTTCCGTTTTAATCCTCATGGGAGGATTGATGGGATGGGGGGCAAGATTTTTCGCGTGCCGAGCATTCCTCTTACCCTTTTACCCTTTATTTTTAATTTTTTGATCTTTTATTATTTTTGCCACACAAGATAAATTACAGCTGGTAGGGTGACTGTGACGGGGAAATCTTCGAGAAGCCGACTAGCTTATAAGAAATGGAGCCCCTGTAAAAAGGGGCAATACGGAGGCAATACGTCCTAGCCGGCATGATCACATGCTGTTTACGGAAAATTCCCTCATCCATGTCACGAAATTCTGTATTTTAAAGCCTCCCCTAGAGCATGACTCAGCAACTGAGGACATTTCTGCTACGTTTTCAATGTTGGTTAGCATGCAAGGATTTTTCCCATGCCTATCGTCAATAATTTGCTCACTGGTAATAGAAGGGGTGGCCCCAGAGTGGTTTTGCATTGAAATTGGCATGCAACAGAATTTTGCATGCCCTGTAAGCATAATTTGAGGTTCCGTGACCTTCTCACCCAGGCCGCGAGAAGCCTAGGTTCTAGTAATAAGTAATTCATACCCAGCAAAATCTCCGGCATGCCGGGCATGCCAAATTTTCTGGCATGCCCGGCATGCCAAATTCTCTGACATGCCCGGCATGACAAATTCTCTGGCATGTCGAGCGTGCCATAATCTGGGTCATCCCGGGCATGCCAAAATCGGTCTCTGGCATGCTCTCAACGCACAGGTTATAATTCCTTGAATCTACAGATATTTTAAGCCTGGCTTAAAAAATAAATAAATAAATAAATAAACAGATCACCGTGCTTATCTTTTGATGTACGGCGGTTACACGATGACGCCATTGCTATTCCTTTCATTTTCATAGATTTGGTTGTCCCAGCGAAGTTTAAATAACAAAAGCTCTAATTTCCACAAGAAAGTAAAACCCTGAGGGATTCTGCTGTAGTAATAAAACAGCGTCATCGTGGAGATGACCTGTTGGGGGGTTGTAAAAACTCCTTACCACTTTTAATGAGTCTTTAATAGGATTCCCATTTCACATTGCGAATAAAATCACTAAAAAGAGAGACAGAGACTATTTTCATTGTATAATAAAATGCATCTATGTTCCATGAAAACTTTTAAAAATACAAGGTTATAGAATATCTTTCAAAGTTCATTACAAACTGAGCTAAGCCCCAAAATCACTGTTCATCATTCAGTAAATTATGATGTTTGACAATGCAATGTGCTTGGATATAACGTTGCAATTACAAATCTCTCAAACGCAATTTTCCCTACGTTAGAAAAGCTGTTTTTATCTTGTTTCACATTTTGATAAAGAGTCTGAGTTCCTCTTTCTTGTTTTGTAGGCTTGCCAGGGATTAGTGTTTTTGTGTTATTAGCAGTGTCTGTGTTCTTTGTTTTTAACTCAAAGTAAGTCAGTAATAACTGACAGTATCAAAGAATTGCTCTCTAGAAAAGTAATTATCTCCTCGTCATGTCTGGAAGTTACCTGTAACAAAAAAGAAATGGAATGTTAACACATGCATGGGCAATATGAAAAAAGAAATAGAACATGTAGACTCAGCTTCTCTTAACATATTTTCATACTGGCTTGTTGAGTCTGTTAAAGGTCGCAACTAATTGTCTGAGGCTAATTTCACAAGAGTGTGCAATTGAGATAAATGCATGGCAAGTGAAAGAAACGTGGTTTCAGATTAGCCAATTTACATTGCGTTGTTCGATGATGTTTACATGCTCTTCTACTGCGAAATAAACCTTTGCATTTGGGATGGAAAGTCAAGATTATCCCGAGTTTGACTGACACTTGAACAACAGTTTTATTTTTAAGCAGGTAAGGCGTAGACCATCATTTCGTATGTTACCTAGAGTTCTAATAAATAGGTCATAAAATAGGATTTAACGAGAGCGAATTTGTTTCTCAATCGGTGTATAAAAAGGTAAGGCTATCAAATGAGCAGTTTATAAAGTATCAAAATCATTAAATTAAAACCTCACATAATTAGGAAAATTCCTATACGAAAACAATGCTAATGACATTAAATTGATCAGATAAAATTCTCACAAAATATGTCTCATTGTTTGCTTTTGTTTTTGCGTAAAGGTAAATTTTTCGGCCCACAAAGCAAAGTTGAAAAAACGACTAAATCTTAGTTTTTACATTGAACATGTTTATTAGCTTAGTTTTTGTCCGTTTTAAAAGCTTTATAAAAGGTTAAAAAAAGGTTAAAGGCCTGTTTATAGTGGAAATTGCACTTAGCTTGTCCAGCTAATTTACAGGCACTCCACTTAAATATTTAGAAACAAATAATTCAAATACAACATAACAGGATTAAAAACCCCAACTGGCAGAAGGCGACCAGTTGGCTATTTACAAGCGTGGCCGAGAATTTGAACTCGGGACGACCGAGCACAAATCCAGCAAGTGGCCAGAGCGGGACTCGAACCCGAGACCGCTGGATTGCGAGTCCGACGCGCTGACCACTCGGCCACGCTTCCTCCTAACCCAATCATAATTTTCGAGTTAAAATAGTACAAAATCATTTCAAAAACTATGTTCATTTAAAGTAGAGCCGGCAAACGTGAACATTTTGTAATTTAAAAGTCGGACCCAGCCAGGTTGTTTAAGCTTACTAAATAGAATTTTTTGCATTTTAGCGTCCTATAAATTTACCAGAATCACCTCTCAGAGGCTTACTGTAGCAAAGCATTTTGTAGTACACTCGTAGACAAGCAATGTAAGCCTTAAGTCTTTGCTTGGATGAGATGTCCAAAAGAAAAATTAGTTTTGTGGACCTAAACGCACATTCCCAGACTGCTTATATTGAGTTGTTTACAACTTTGCATTGACACCTGTAGCATGTTCACTTTTTTAAAGCGAAATCCAAATCTGATTTTGGCATTTGATTTACGGATATTTTATTTTGTCTCCAAAAGTGATTGTAATATCCGTTTGATTGTATTACAAACAACGGTCAAACTATGCAGCAAGAATAAGTAACTTTACCAGTACAGTGAAAAAATATGACCGTAGGTGCCAAAAATAATTATGCTCGAGCTGTAAAATTAGATCTGACTTTTTTTAGCTTTGGTTTCTATATTTTTGAAGTTTTCTCTAGTCTTCTTAGCAGCAGAAGAAGATTACAAGACGTACAAACAGAAACAATCCGAAGTGGACGAGTTGACAGCCACTGAATGCCAAAAAGCTAATTCACGGGATTTGTTCGATATTCAGGCTTTTTCTTTACAAATTAATACTAAATCTGTACTTACAGTCTCTCGCAGAATCCATTTCTTGTCCAGCATTCACCAACATCTCAACCATGCACCGCAGAAAAAAAAAAAAAGACAAACAAGTGCGAAGAGACATGACGACATCGTGACGCCAAAACTTCCACGCTGCAACAAACTACACTGAATTAGATTCATCGTCATTGGAAAACACTTCTGCGGAAATTCGGCCGATTTCGTGCGTGCTCAGGGTATCTTCGGATGAAGCAGATAACGTTGCTCACAGGACTATCGTCAGCAAGGAGTAAAAGAGTTTGCGAGATTCGCATAGCCGACAAGAAGCGCACTGAAAAACCTAAGCAAAATCTATCTGAGAAGGCAGTCCAAATTCACCAAATCAGAACGTCTCTGCAGTATTAACGTCGTACTCTCGTACTGACTTGAACGACCTGGTAAGCTTAATTTTCACCAGCCTTTAAATGCTGTTGACCGGGAAACACTCCGACGCGATAAAACTTAAGCATGGATAAGTTTATACTGAGAAGATTTGTTATCTTATTGTTTAAAACGCTTTTCCGCGATCAAATTTAAATCTGGATCCAGAAATGTCAGTATCGGTTTGAAATAAAAGGATTAATCTTTTATTGCAAGTGAAGTATTCTATTTTATGCAGGAATAATGTTGTTTTGTTGTGCTTTTCATTTATAAATCCAGGCTTCTGTCTTCAGTTTTGCCAATCGATCCCGTGAAACACATTGTGACAAACATGACTTTTTTTTGTTATAATCTGCATTTATTGCCAGGCATGAAACCTGTAACTTCAAGCTCCCTAAGATGTATTTGGCGATTATATGTGATTCTCAGGATATGATGCTGAAGCGAACATCAAAATCAGTCTTGCTGGGCATGCCAGTTTCAAGCCCTGCGTGCCGGGCATGTCAATTCAACTGGCTTCACGGTCAGCATGCCCGGCCTGCCAAACTAGAGGAGCAAAAACTGGGAATGAATTATCAACCCGGCGAGAGATCTGGGTCCTAAGTTTAGCTGGGTCAATTTTGGGCTGCAAGGGAATGAACCCATTTTCTTTCCATGCCTATGAGATGTTATTTCTAAGTACCAATGTTCCCTTGAATTTTGTCATGCCTAAATATATAAAATTTCCCGTCTCTCATTAATCCCCAGACTGAATACAAGTTTTACGCTCGGTAGGCATGTTCAATTGAAAATCATGCCCATACCCTCATTCAAAACAAAATGCTATCAAATTTTAGTTTCCAAGCCGTTACTGTATAAGACTCCAAATAAAGCATTGTCTTGTCTTGCCTTTCTCCCCCTTTCTCAGGTCAGATTCAAGTGTTGTCTCACCCACTCTGCCCCAAACCCATTAACAACATCCTAGATCCTTCTCTGTACCCTCTTTTTAACTTAACTTCTTCTTTTAGAAATAAAAAAGCCATCTGGAAAGGCTACGGAACTCTATACTATCTCACCAGAAACGAACGAAGGCGGGCCTGATTTTTAGGTCACTCCCATAGCTTAATGCGGATGTCCTCATCCTTTACAGGATATACTGTTTCGCAGTAAGTTCTTTAAAAAAAAACTAAGTACAAGCTAAAAAACGAGGTTGTGTTCTCTTAAAACAGATGGAACGGTTTCAAAAAAGGTTTGAAGAGGAAGGTAAAATACTACGTGAGCAGATGGAAGCAGATGCAAAAGCTCAACGTGATCAAATGGATAACATGTTGAAAGCTAGTATGAAGAAAGCTGAGGAGGATAGGAGAGCCTTCGTGCAAGAAAATCAAACATTGAATGCAAGACTTGGAGAGATGCAAAAGTCAAATAATGAGATGCAGCAAATGGTGGAGAGTTTAAAGCTGCAGCTCTTGCAGAACCAAGGTAGACGAGAGGAAGTAAGAAAACCAAGTTTCTTTGATAAAGCAGTTCAGGTGGTCACAGGCTTAGGAACTATTGCCGGTGCTGTTTCAAAGTGCTCTGTTATGTAACCTTTCACTTTTCTGACACTGAAAACAATTGTTTCCCCATTAAGAAATTCCAGTTACATTAAACATGCACAGAGTAGCATTAGAGTAGCCTGACGCGATAAATAGTTTTATTATAATTTTTTACTGGTACAGTTTAAACTTTCATTTTTTGCTAAAGTGTCAGAATATATCGATGCAGTTTGTAAACATAAACTAAATAAACAGAAAGGTTGAGTTGGAAAATAATTTGATTTTCATTTTCTTTAATGTCAATGAACAACTAATTAAAAACTTACGCGCTGTTTAGAACCCATCGAATGTGAGGCTGAGCTGGTTATTATGAGGTGGGGAAAGAAGCTTTCATTAGTTAACAGTGCCATAACTGACGGGGCATAACCTGAAGGTTGGTTCAAAGACAAATTAGCAACAACAAATAAATGCGATAAATGTCTTACCTCTAAATTAACAATTAAGAATAGTACAAGAGAAGCCCGTTGATGAAAACGTGACTTGTACATGATCATTATTCGTGTTCGTACCAATTTATGTCAAGCCCCCCCCCCCCACCCCTCCCTAAAAAAATCCCAGTAGATAGCTAGCAGTCCAGCAGGCAACTACTTACAGGGATTTCTGCGAAAATTATTATCATTATATTCTTCTTCTTCTTCTTCTTACTATTATTATTATTATTATTATTATTATTATTATTATTATTATTATTATTTTTATTATTACTACAATTATTATGCATGCTCCACGTTCTTAGACATGATGAATGACATTGGCATTGACAAAAAGCAGCAACTTTACATAATCAAAAAAATATATAAATATAGCCATTAGAGCAACATACTGCATCTTTTGTTGTAGAAATAGGAACTGGGATAGCCCAGACTTAATACAATTTTGATGTCTTCTCTTTTTTTCTTTCTCTTTTTTTTTGTTTTGTTTCTGCTTTTTTTGTTTTGTCTTTTGTTTGAATAATCCAATCTCAAGCAGCATTTGCAAATTGCCTATACATAGCGAGATTTACAATTGTACATTCAAAAACACAAGCAAAGTTTCCATTATCATCAAAATCATTAATCATCATCGTCATTAAACACAGCTTCTACATGGATTGCTTGAGTCTTCCTTAAACATCAAGTCACCGCCCGTGACCTTAGGTGTCCAGGACTATACTTTGCGAAGGATTCTGGCTGCACCCGGTAAACAAGCTATCTGCAATGATTCCAAACGACATGTGACACCAATCTCCGCTGACCACTTTTCTATATCTTTCGAGAAAGTTCCTAATGTACCAATTATGACTGGCACAACAGTTACTCTGCTCAATTTCCAGATCCGTTTCAACTCCCGCTTCAGGTATTGGTAGTTTTCAATTTTCTCTTTCTCTTTGCCTTTCACTCCGATGTCAAGTGAACAGGCAACATCAATAATCAGAAATTTGCGTTCTATCTTATCCAGTATCACAATATCAGGCTTGTTGTGTTCAATCTTGTTGTCAGTCTGTATTTTGAAATCCCACAGCAGCTTATTGTTAGTGGATTCACACACCTGTTGTGGCTCATCATTGTAAATTATTTTTCATCCCTGTCATAACCCAACTTTCCACATATTTCCCAATGAATCTCCTGCGCCAACTTGTCGTGCCTCCATCATCGCTATTTCTTTTGAGCAAGTTTCTTGCATTCCTATTCAATATGGCTAACTGTCTCATCTCCTTCTCCACACATTTTACACTTTGCAGACACATTTTGCTTGTCTATAATCCTTTTGATACTATTACTTCTTAATGCTTGGTCTTGTGCTGCCATAATTATACCCTCCGTCTCCTTCTTTAGTCTGCCTTTTTTCAGCCCCTTCCACGTCTTTTTGTCTCTTACTTCTGCTGTGTTCGTCCAAAACTACCCAGGAAGTTATTTCTCTTGGAAGTGCTCTTTTCTCTTTTCTTTCTTGCTGTAATGATCCGGTTTCACAACTTTTAGCATAACATC